GCGGTAGACGCGGACGATGAGGATGTAGACCTCACCGAAACCGAAGGCGATAATGGCAAAACCCAGGATGCGAGACTCGACTGTCTCGACGGCGGGGAGACCGCACTCCACGCCGGCCTCGTATGCGGGCGCGCAGGCGTCGCGGCGACGATTGCGCTGCGCACGGAGCCAACTGTAGTAAATGCAGACTGGGAGAGCTAGATCGAAGAAGAGAATGATGAAGGGGCCGATGGAGATGGAGATGTGCTCCTTCCAGTCCACGTACTTGGTCAGCGGCTCAAGCTCGTCATCGTCGTCGTCGTCATCAAGGCCTCTGTCGCCGCCAGGCGTGGTGCCGGCCAGGACTCCTGGGGTCGCCGGGTCGGTCGTTGTCTTGGGCGGCCCTTCGCGGCCAAGCACCTGCGCCGTACTCTCGCTGACGGCCGTGATGGTGGAATCACGGAATGCCTCACGGTTCTCATCTCCAGGGGCTCGATCCCGGGCAATGGCGGCCTCGGAGGCCGTGTTGGGGGCGTCAGCGACGCCTGGTACCGCCGCCTCGTTGGATCCTCGTCTGCTTCCTTGCTGCGAACCCGTTCCCGCCGGTACGGCTGCCCTGCTCTGCTCGCCGGAAGGTTGCCTGCTGGGTGCCTTTTGGGAGGGCGCCTTTACACTCGGTGCCTTGTCTTCTGACGGAGCCTTCGATTGTGAGGTGCCGGGTCTCGTCGGGGCGTCCTCGTACGCCTGCTCCCCCTCGTTGTCGCTGGTGATGTCCGATATCAGCGCCGTTGAAGCGGCCGGATCATTGTCTCCTGGCATTGTGGCGTCTTTGTTGTTGGTCCTGTGTAAACAGTAACCTGGGTATCGATGGAAAGGGGACTGAAATGGGGGGTATCTTGTCAAGAAAAGAAATGACAGAATGATAGCTCTTGTACGCGCGCGCTAGACGAACTGCAACGACGACGACAGAAAAATGATTAAAGCTAGCTCAGCTCGGCTTTTGGGGTATGACAGCAGAAAACCAGAGCTCACACCTTACCGTTCGCTCCCAACACAAAGGGCTTTGGGATGAGAGACGTCGACTACTTCATATGGAAAGGTGTTCACTAGAAGCATGGGAGCAGTGGGCGCAGATCCAAAGCGCACGTCCGCCCGCGCCGTCGCAACACGAATCATGAGGGGAGCATGAAATGCATCGCGACATCAGACGGATGCCTGACCGGCCGGTCCCTGGTTTCGAAAACGTGCCCAGGTTGTATCTGAGCCCATTATTCCATAGGATGTTCCTTTTCGGGCCCCGAGCAGCATCAGCAGCGGTGTCCTCGGATGCCCCCTTCGACGCCCCTCCTGGGCGACGGCACTGCTTGCTCGTCGCGTGATTGGCACAGGTCAACGTGTGGTGTTGGCTCTTGGTGGATGGTTTCTGCCCCTTGCCAGCAAACTTTGGCCGGCATAAACCCAGAGCTTCGTCTCAATAAGCATCAGCAATGCTACAGACTTTACTTGTCTGTGTTTCTTGTGCAATGTGTGGGAGGGGGGGCGGGGCGAGATAGCTAGGAAAGGGGCGGAAGGGAAAGGGGGCTAGTTTTGACAAGACGGCGCCGTCTACCATCCCCTGCGACGACGGACGCGGCCAAGAGCTTTCAACTTCTGTGAGACGACATGTTAAACGTATGGTCTTTCCGGGATCCAGCCACAGCCGGAACCTGGACTTTCGGGGGCATTTGCCTCTCCACGATCGGCACCGGACTCCGTTGCGGAACGTCGATTAGCTCCCGACACAGGGGCCGTCCCTGGCGTCCTGCTTTGGCCCAGCCCCGGCGCAAACAGCAGCAACAAGATTCAGCCGCGCAGCAATTGGCCAGAAGCACTGAGAGAGAAAAAGAGACCGGCGAACCCGGGGCTTCCATGTTCTTGACTCGAGCCCAGAAACGTCTTTGCTCGGTTGTATTGGTGTCTAGCGTCAAACGCTAGTGCGGAGTCAAGTCCGGACATCAGAGCACAAACTGCGAACCCAGCAGCAAACAGAACAGAGCGCAGAAGAGACCAAGCAACTCGCAGTTCAACTGAACGGGTTGCAGATGGTGACGGGAGCTCTGGCATAGACATACGTACCTACAAGGCGTGAGCTGAGCCCAGCGGGTGGTGCGCCAACCAGACGAGCGTCTTTCATCCCAGAGCTTGCCCATCTTTCCTGGCTGCAACCTGCGGGCCAAGCTGTAATGCAACAGTTGCTCCCATTCCTCCGTTGCGTTCCTGCCATTGTTCCATGACCCCAATTCTGCATTTCCCATGCTGCGAGACTCTCCCATGCCTGCTTCCTCCTCTATGCAGGCATGCCACGACTTCCGCCAAGGTTCTGCCCTGCGCCAATTACATAACGTGCCGCCAACACCCAGGTTGCTGCAGCTTGCAGTGGTCTGACCTTCAGGAGCAGACAATCGTGTGTGTTGCTTACCTGTGTTGGACAACCTTCCATCCTTGAACCCAGCCCAAGACCCTCAACCCGCTCTCGCGCCCGTCTGGGTGTGCTTTCCCACGTTCCGGTCCAGGATTGGGCCAGGACGACGGGTTCCAACTCAGGCAAAGCTACGCTACGATCTCTGCTCAAACAGTGGCCGAATCAAAGAATCGCAGAAACGACGATGGACATTCGGGCAGAATTTCGGACAGAAACGCTGGTCTTCTCCCGAGTGTCCGTCCAGCCCGCTGGGCCGTTACATCCCACCGCAAACCGTGAATCCGTGAGCAAGATCTCTACACTGGGTGATGAAGACAGCCAAGAACCTCCGCCCCGTCACAACACGCATGTCCTCCTTCCCCAAACCGAGGTCAGCCAGGGATTGATGTCGTGGTGACACAGGACGCGCAGCATGACTCTCCTGTCATCCAAAGCCAAGTTGTCCCCTCCCTCTCCCCCTTCACATAGTCCCGAGGGAGTCGTATCACATAGCACATCACCGGTCCAGGCCACCTGGCACCATCACCCTGGAATGTTCCAGTCATGGACCATGACGCCTGCCCCGCGGGTCCCTAGGCCTCCGCCTTCGTAGGTCTCGGAGTTTATAGCTTGATCGCTGCCTGCCTTGTGGGCGCCCGCGTGTAGCAGGTTTTACGGGGACTTTCGAGGATCTTGAAATATGGATAACCCAGACTAAGAAACTTGCCCGTCGCTTGTTGACCGTCGCTTGACGGGCGCCACGCGCAGCCCCCCCTTTCGCTAGCCGCCGCGCTTAGGATCTGTCAGATTCTGCTCCTATCAAACCTTGCAGGCTTGTAACCTCAGCTTGCAAGATGGTGGTGGCCGAGTCGTAGCGTCGCCATCCATCTGACACTCAATCTCGCATCCTCATTCCAACGACCTTTTCCCCGTCCCTAAATATGTAACGATGCAATGCACACGTGTCCGGCGGCCGGCCCGCTCGTGACGCTGGCAAGACAAGCTGCAGCCATCAGACGCTCCGCCGTTACGCTACCGCCATGACACTAGCTGATGGCTTACCCATTCCCGACATCTGCCTCCGATGCGCCAAGAATGATTCCAAACCCGTTCCATGCCTAAGCGAAGTGCACTCCTGTAGCTTTGGCCGCGTTCTAGATGGACGGGAGAAGACTTAGACAGGCTTCAGGTGTACAGACGTGTGTCACATCGAAGATGGGCGCACGCGACTCATGGAGACAATCAACGTGCAATGCAGTCAGAGCACCGCTGCGCCGGGTCGGGTCTCGGTCGTTACATCCTCAGGGCTGAGTGCAGCACAAGCGTAGTTTCTCCTTTTTCGTTGAAACCTGAAAACTTATTCTTCGGGAACGATCCCCTTCGTGGAAGTTGATCGTCGAAAACAAATCTTGTTCCCGAATGCGCTTTCGGCACAACTGTCAATATTGGGTAATGTGGATTTGCGGCACGGCTTCATCTCACGGATCCATGGGCCGTCTGTGAGAATGGTTCATCGCTTCAGACACTTGCCATCGCACCCGCACAGGGCAAGCGATCTCTCTCCAAACACGTGTTTGGACCTCTAGCGTGGAATAACTTGGGCACGTTGGGCAGCAAAACTCCGGTCTTTCTTTCACCGACTCAGCAAAGGGGGGTGATGTCGGCTGCTCCGAGGACGGGCGGTTTCACGACGGGAGGCTTGCGGGCTTGGCTTCATTCGAGTGGGGACTGAGTCGGTCGAGCCGGCTTGGACCGGCGCCGTTTCGAGTCGGAGGCGGATGCTACCTTATGCTAAATGCATAGTTGGACATATGCTGGCTGTTTTGTAATTAGCGTCGACATCTCTTCGTCTACCCTTCCTTTCGAAAATCTCAGAAAAAAAGGTCGTGACATTGAGATCAAGTAAGATGCGTGCCTTGACTGTCAGGTGTACGTCAATTTAGGCACCGCAGCCAGACCAAATTCCATTCTGCAGCATGCTTGCCACGTAGATCCCGCCCGTCGTGCCGTTGACGATGATCCACAAGGCTTGTAACCCGAAGACCAGGACCCATGCTCGTTTCCAAGTGTAATAATTCTAATATCCTTGGCGTACGAAAGCCGCCTAGCTTGAAATGCCAACCAACACATTTAGAGGCGTGTCGGGTCCAGGCTGCGTATCTCAAAGTCAGGCAAGAACTTTGACGAGATCAATTGCGATTGTAGAACATAGGTTTTCTTGCCATGTGCATGTTTGCGAAGCTTCGATAGCACTCGCTAGTAGAGAATTACCACGTCTAGGAACACAGTCCGTAACACAGCCGCAGATGCCAGGCGCTTCGCGGGCGGTTGCAACAGGCAGCGATCGATATCACAATCAGCAGCCAATGGTTTGACTGGGATGTTCTACAGCTGAACAACGACCTGCAAGCCACAACGGGAATCGCCCAATCAATCACACAATGACTTCCTGCCAAGGCATACTATTGAATGTGCCAAATGGCTCAAATACTCGAGCTTCTGTCTCTCTTCAAATAAATTCAATCCGTTTTCTTGCGTCATATCTCTGTTGGCCCATCTAGAAACAAGAGCACAAGCAATCATGAGCTCTTCGCCATCTGCCGACTTACCACTCGGTCGGATACTTGACGACGTATCAAATCTCCAACCCTTTCAATATGCCCCACTTCCAACATCTACAAGTATTCGACTCATTGAGATCCTGCCCTCGACCACAGGCGCCATTCGGTGCAGAATGACGACGGTAGATCTCGGCGAGCAACCTCCGTACGTCTGCTTATCTTACACGTGGGGCAGCCCGACAACCATCAACGAGGAGCCAGCGCCTGAACCAGAAGAATACAAAAACCCAGAACACTTCATCAAGCTCCCGTTCGTGTTCGAGTCCAAGGGACCAAGCGGTATCACGATACACAACACCGACTATGCCATGAAATTTTACGTCGAGAGACACCCATGGATTCCCCGAATGAGACTCGACACAGCTCCAAAGGAACAGCAGCCGATAGAAATCAACGGCAGACTGGTCTATGTGCAGGAAAATCTGTATTGCTTTCTCAAGGAGTATATTTCTTGGAAGCTTGGGTTGCAGAACGGGCCAGAGGACGGAGAAGAAGCGGATGAGAATCAACGCGAGCTCTTCATGAATCCCCTCTGGATCGATGCACTATGTATTAATCAGGAAAACCTAGACGAGAGAGCGTCTCAAGTGCAGTTAATGAGATCGATCTTTCGAGGCGCAAAGAGGGTTCTGGCTTGGTTGGGGCCTCCGGATGGATTGACCGAAGACGCAATCGCAGGCCTTGGAATACTTTACATGTCCGACCTTGGTACTTGCGAAGGGGGGATGACACTTTCGGATATACCCGGGATGGATCTTGTTCACTGGTTCGCCGTCTTTGCGTTTTTCCAACGTTCTTGGTTCCGGCGTGCGTGGGTTACTCAAGAGGCAGCTTCATGGCGACAGAACGTCATCACCGTCATCCACGGCGGGCGTCTGCTTCTCTGGGAGTGGATCTGCATGATCAGCGAAATGTTGAAGAAGTCCGGGCTTCAACAGGAATTGCTCAAATTCGGATACAACTTCCTCGACGGCGAGCCCTTGTCGGACAATGTGCGTCAGCTTCGAAAGCTATATGCGTTTGGCGACGGAGTTAGCGAGGACGTCAACACTGACGACTTTATAAACATCCACGGAAGGGCGAGTGAGGGCATGGACGGCCTGTCTTTCACAAACGCGATCTGGAGCCTTGTGTTTCGTCTTCGGAAGGATAGAGAGAGAATGTACATGGAAGTTCCTCCTCTTCTGCGCGTCTTAGGCTTGTTTCGAGGTACAGACGCAACCGATCCGCGCGACAAGGTTTTCGCCTTTCTCAATATCGCCTCAGACGCAGATCAACTGGCTTTGGTACCGGATTACAAGGCCAGCGTACAGAACGTCTTCAGGAAAACTGCCGAGGCAATCTTGAGAACGACAAAGTCGCTGTCTATCTTCTCACAGGTTCAAGAGCCCTGCGACACACAAATTCCTCATTTGCCCGGGTGGGTACCGGATTTCAGCGCCAGGCTGTCCTGCACGCCGCTCGATACAGGAGATGACGACGTGCCGTTCTGTGCTTCAGGGCCTGACAGCGAAGCATGGTTCGAAATCCATGATGACGATACGATCGAGGTCGAGACTATCGAGCTGGATTTCATCATGACAAGCGAGATGGCTGGCGACAATGCCGAAGACCTACTCCTGTGCGTGTTAAAATCAATGCTCAGAGTTCCGCACCGATACCCAATTGGGAGATTTGAGATACAGCAGGTTGGTGTGCCTGCTGAAGACCAGAATGTGTCGCAACAAGCTGAGCCAACATCTTCGCAAGACGCACAAGCGAGTACCAATGTTGTTTTGCCGCGCAAGGACACTCAGGGGTTCCACAGTGAGCTGCCTGACCCGAATACAGTCGAAAGCTTGCAAGAACCCACTCTGCATCAACCAATATCGCAAAACAAGCAGCCAGTCTATTCCAACTCTGTCAATGATGATTCCGTAATCCTTAACGAGGGGGGCACAGTCGGCGCCAAAGCTGAGCAAAGCCTCAATGACATCGGGTCAGAAACCCCACACCCTAATTCGAGCGAGGACGCAATAGAAGAAGCCCAGGAGTCAAATTTGAGCGGGAGGCAGACACCGTACGAGATACGGCCCGTCACTCGGATTGAAGCTATGTGGCGAACGTTAGTCGGAGACATGCTCCCTAGCTCAAGGATAGGCTTCAACCCTGACCCGAGAAAGTTAATGACCCATCCAGCACCACCTTCTCTCGGGTACGGACTCTCTAACTGGATCGAGGCCGGCATTCTTGAGATGTGGTATCTATGCCAAAACTTCGGCGCAAACAGCCAAGTCACGGGCGCTGCTTGGCGGCGTGTCCTGACGACACTCTCTGCCTATGCCGCAATCTACCGTGAGCGACACATTCCTTTGACGAGAGAAACAATTGAGTTCAGTCTTGAAGCGGACACCATCGAAGACCTAGCTGCGCAGGAGGACGAAGAGGAGAGCTGGGTTGGCTTTGCTCTCAGCAGTCATAAATTCTTCCCTCGGGCGTCCAGGCTTAGAAGACTCTTGAACGGAACAAAACCGGCAGGCGACCTTCGAGGTTATGACGGTGACCCTCAAGCAGCCATAAATGGACAGTGGAGGGAACACGCGTTGAAAAACTTTACCAAGGAGGAAAGAGAAGACATAGACTCTTTTGAGAAAAGGATGAAAGTCATGCTCAAAGGCAAAAGATTGTTCACGACAAGGTCAGGCCTTCTAGGAATTGGGCCTCGATCCTTGTTTCAGGAGATGAACTGCGTTTACCAAGTGCATATCATGAAGGGCGCCAAAGTTCCGTATGTTCTCGCGAGCTACGATGACGGAACGTACCGGTTGATTGGTGAAGCCTATGTACATGGGGTCATGAATGGAGAGCTGCTTGAGCACATGAGCAATCTACCATGGTGCAAGTATGAAAGAATTCGGCTTAGATAGCTAGAAATCAAACTTATTCCGGCACACCGTGAACCATCTTCACCTGTAGGTGACAAGACTGCTGCCAACAGACGAACCCACTGTGACGCCTACTTTCTCACCATGCCGCGTGGGACATCGCAAATACGCGTGACAAAGTCTTTACTGCGGCATGTCCCTCAAGACCTTCTGCCAGGGCGGTCGGGTCGACACCCGCTTCCACAAGCCTTCAAAATTAGGCCCAGCGGCAACTTCGTCGTACAAACCGAGGAACTTGATGTAGGGCATCCAAGTGAAGACGTAGATGTCGGCAAGACTGGAGTTCTGTTGGAATTTAGAAATGGTTTTGAAGAAACAGTGGATAGTGTGTTGATCTTGCGTCCCCAGCCAAGTACGAATTGAAGCCAAGCAAGTCCTCGTAATAGTCCAGTGCAGTCTTGAACATCGCGGGTGCCTTCTCAAGCTCGAGGGAATTGGCGGCCTCAGCAGGACTATATGGCATCCATGGTTAGTGTAGGCTCTCATATCCAATTGCATATTTCCAATCTTACCTGTTCCACGAATTCTCATTGCACAAGGTTCTCACAGAGGGGTCAACGTAGGAGTAGCCGATGCTGAGTGCTTTCTCAAACTTCGCAATCATGATCGGGTCGCCGCTAGTGATGACACCCAGCGAACTAGAGGCACCAAACTTAGCAATGATGTAGCGAAAAATAGCCCGAGATTCGAACAACTGAAGGTCACCGTCTTGGATGACGGTAATGAGGTCAAACGGGTGGTAAGTCTTGATGCAATCGGGGTCCTGAGCCATGCTGTGAGAACCAGATCGCAATATGGAGAATTCGTTAGTCTCATACCTTTTTCTCCCCTTTTTGAAGAGTAATTTAAGTGATTTGAGATAGATCGTAATCCATCCCCAGTTCATTTAGAGTAATCATCACTCGGTGAGTGCAGCCGGACGTCGGAGAGCCCCAAAATTTGAGTGCCATGGTTGGATAATTCAAGTAGTGGGAAGCTAGATCTGTTTCAAATGCAGGAATACAATCAAGAGATTGGATAGCAGTGAGGGCGTTCATTCAAAATTGGGCTGTATTTCCGCATTCTAAACCGATTTCAGGATGATCCCAACCTCATCAAGGCTGCGAACCAGTCAACCGCGACGACGAGATACGTCGCAAATATGTGCGGCATCACCTACATCCCAGAATAAGCCTGCCCTAACCAAACTTGTCTACCTAACCATTAAATTGACATAGATGACCTGTAGATATCAGGGAGTCAAAGGTGTTTCCCGCTGCAGAGGGAAAAGTTCAAGCGATCCAAGCTCTCGAAGCTTGCCCCCTCGAGTGGACGTGCTTCCTGACAGGGCTTCTCTCTGACTACCTTGTTATGCCTCATGGCAAGTCGTACATGACACTCTTGGTCGTCCTGGTTGACATGGTTCACAACGTGGCTGCCATTCTAGGCTCAGGCTCAGTATCTGTTGTATTGACGTATAGCTTCGACATTCCCAAGTTCGTGATCCGAGCTCTCGCCCTTGATCACTGGGAAAAGGAGATGTACATCATCAGGGACAGGATAACTCTCAATGAAGTCGTGGCTCTGGCAGAGAAATTCAAGGCATCTAAATTTAGTGTCACGCACGATTATATGTACAGTCTTCAAGCTGGTAGGGTCACCGAGCTCCTGTCGCATGAGGCGTATTACCCTTATTTTCCAAAGGAGCAAATGCAGGGTCTGTTGGCTTTCTTCGGCGTCATGTGGAAATCGGGGAAATGCAGTCTTGAACCTGCCCACACCCTCAATCAGAGGTTTCCCGATATAGAGACGACCAACGTTCGTGCGTTGTTGGAATCTGCATGGAAGGGGATCTAAGAAGTCTAGGATGAGATCGTGGTATTTCAGGTCCCCCCGATTGCGAGGCTCTGCTTTCTTCCTCTCTGAAGTAGTGATCCGAGAATTGATCCACTGTGCTTACTCTCAAAACGTCGGACCGTGCCCAAGCACGTCTTGAGTGGCTTAAAGGGACAAGGGCCTATGCAGTTCAGAGGCGTTGGTGATGGCGGCCCAGCTTCAATTGGATTTTCGACCAATCAATCATTCATCGTTGCCCGGCTATGCAACACAACAGTCCGTTGGTTCTGCAATTCAAACATCACAACCCTGCTCCTAATTTTGAATCTCCATCAAAAATGTCCTACCCCTGCCTTTTGCCAAGGAAGCTCAGCCTGATTGTTTTTGCCATAAGTACAGCCGCTGCCCGCGATTGGGGTGATGGTCTTCCATCGCCTCTCAATTGAAAAGCTCTACTCCAACAGACCTGCGATCGCCTGTCTCTCTTTTGGCAACCCAATGCCTTCCGTTACAAATTATCCAAGACTTTCCAGGCTTAGTCGCGTGAGGCTAGCGCTCCCGACAGGTTGGCGCCGTGCGGCAATTGTCAACATCTGCCTCATGTCAATCTGCTTCCTGGTCCTTCTCAGCATATTGATCGCAGCAATATCAAAAACCGGAAATGTGGCACAAGTATGGAAGTTCTACACAGCAGACTGCAGAAGTAGGGGTTCTAGCGTTACAAACACCATGCTACATCTACTCCTCAACATCCTCTCCACCATTATCCTCGCCTCGTCAGGCTTTTTTATGCAGGTCCTGAACTCTCCGTCTAGGACTGAGGTGGACGAGACGCACGCTACAGGTAATTGGCTCGACATTGGAATACCTTCGTGGCGGAATGCATTTCGACTTTCACGCTTTAAGCTGTGGAGCTGGATTATTCTTTTTCTAAGCTCTGTTCCTATTCACGTCTTTTTCAACAGTTCAATTTTTCAGATCGACAGCCGAATGGGTGACTTTCATTTGACGATCGCTACCGAATCATTTGTGAAGGGAGAGCCCTTCTTTCTGCCTGGAGCCAGCCTATACACCGACGGCCTCTTTTCGAATTACACCCGTCACGAAGGGTTGAGCAATGTGCCTCCCTTTGGAGATGTTCGCTCTTACGACTTCAAAACCTACTTGACCGACCGCGATTCAACAGACATATCGAACGTCTCAAAAGCGGCTGAACAAGGGTTGCAATGGCAGAGATTGAGCACAACTGAGTGCCGTGCCCTCTACAGCGGCTCAAGGTCAAACTGCAAGGGGCTTAGGGAATATCGGAATGCCATCCTTGTTTGTAAAGGTTCCGGGTGGAAAAGATCCGAACTTTGGAACCTCTCTAACTCGGCAAACGCCCTTTGGGAACCCGTGGTGCCAAGCAACGAAATCAACACTCTGTGGCTCTCGACACCTTGCACGATGAAAGGCATCATCGTGGAGAGCAATCCACAATGCGAAAATACTTGCGGCGGCATAGTGGACACCCTGAGTTCTTCTGGACATTGGCAAATTCGGACATTCGATTGGTATGAGACATCGTCAACTCCGGAATTTCCGCCTGTGGGTTGGAATTTCACGGATCTCCCGAGCTGGTCCATGACCCCTAGATGGAATTCGACCTTGTATGCGGCCCCAGGCAATGAGTCCACGCCAACCTTTGGATATCGGGATTCTTCATATAACCTAGAGATTGACTACTGCCTTGCAGAACCTAGGGATTTGAGCAGTGCTTGCGGTGTAGCCCTCTCAAAACCTCTCCTTCTCGCTGTCGTTGTTTCAGTTTTGATCAAGATCATTGCCTGCATCGTGACGATACACTTTCTAGGTTCTGAAGAGCCCCTTGTAACCCCCGGTGATGCTATTGCATCTTTTATTTCGAAGGCAGACGTCAAAATCGACCAGCCTGGCTTCTCGAATCCGAGTATGTTCGCAAAAGTCAAGAAGAGGAAGAAAAGCTATGTTGCGTATGAGCATGCGGGACCAACCCAATGGGTTAACACCCCTAGGAAAACAGCTGCTTGCATATCTTCTAAGGCTTGGATTAGTACTTACGCCATCTTGGGCTTCGGTGTTGTCGTAGCAATCGCCTGCTGCGCCAAGCAACTGACTAGCAGTATCCCACTGTGAGTTGACCCTTAAATGGCAAATGGATGTTGGGCCGTGACGTGGTGTAGTGGCCATGATGACTGATATAGTTCTAGGAGATGGATAAAGACCAATCCTGCGGAATCGAACAGCGTTCTCTCTGCCATAGATGGTGGTGTAGCATTCATCTCATCGGTACTCGTCGCCAACGTACCTCAACTATACCTTTCATTCTGGTATCTCGCTTACAACACATTGATCACACGAATGGAAATGGCTAGGGAATGGTCGCGATTCTCTACCGGGTATCGCTCATTACGTGTATCGTCTCCGAGGTAATCGAACATTCGTCCTTCTGTGAAGCGGGTTGATAACAAAGACTTACGGTTTGAAGGGGTCAGCAGATCGATACATACAGACTCCAGCTACCTTACAGACAGAGCATCCCTCTCATTACAGCGAGTATAGTACTTCACTGGCTGCTTTCAAACTCCTTGTTCGTCATCGTGTCTCAAGGCAGTAAGTCATTTTTCTCTCGTTGGTATGTGTAGTAGAGGTACTTATGCGCTGCAGACTACTTCGAGATGAGCCTGAATAGGTCAGATGGAGGATACAAAGGAGATCCTATCAGCCTTCCCCCGAACACAGTCGTTGGTCTTGGAACAGCATCTTTGCCAGTATTGCTTCTCGCAGTCATTGGAGGAATCATGATGATCATACCTATCTTTCTTTCGAGAAAACAGCTTGCTGGCTATATGCCTATCGTTGGGTCAAACTCTATGGCGATGGCCGCTGCATGTCGTGTCTCACCCATAGCAAAGATTCCAACTAGGGTTGACGACAAGGATGATAAAGGCCAAGCAACTGAGCTGGAAGAATTGAGACCAACATCAAGCATTGCGGTTTCGGAGGAAGGGCTGAGTGCTCCCAGCCAGTCCACCGACATGCCTCTCTTTCTCCTGAGATGGGGCGAGGTGGAGATGCCGAAGAGCTGGTACGAAAGGGTCGGGATGGATGGACAAGAGGCAGCAGAGATTGGGCATTTGAGTTTTGGTACAGTCCTAGACGATCCTAAGCCCCCAAAGGAAAGTCGGTTTTATGTCTAGTAGGTGAATTTTCAAACATAAGGAGTTGTGAAACGAATCGCGGACCTAGTGTAGTAAATGTTCGACTAGTGATTCGGTAACGACAATGTGTTCAAGTGCGATGCTCATTACGGCCGCGGAAGGTATTCACGCGGCCGAAGTCTGAACGTGGGCTGCATTGTTGACTGTGTGACTTGCACCACGCCGGGATGGGGAGGCGATCTCCCATGATTGATCCAATGACGCTCGCTTTTGGGCATTGCTGTGTGGAAATGTCTGCACATCGTTCACAAAATCGCCGGAGTGGCCCCTGCCGATGCGAATGCACGCGACGAAGTATTATCCCGGCGGGTCTTCAGCAAGTTGAGATGGGATTGACACGGGTTTTGAGCAACCTAACCCCCTCACTTCCTGACATGACCAAATACACCATAAATAATCCCCGACATCAAATATTTGGAAAATTGTCTCCTGTTCAAACATCTTTGACTCGGTCTTTTTGACAATGGTTTACAGAATCCAGTGCTATGTGCCTCAAGAGGCATCGAGAGTCTTTCGCGAAGGGATTCTCAACAACCCCTTGGTCGGACCCCTGTTACCGTAGCTTTTGGCCTTGAGCGCGCGCATTCGATTCGAGGGTTCCGACATACCGAGCTCCCCTGTTAACTGGCGGTTTGCAGAAAGTATTTCAGCATTGAAGGAATACCAAACTCTGCTACTGATGCAAATCCTGTCTAAGAAATATGGGTTGAGAAATACCGAAGTTGAGATCAATACGTGAGTATCCCGCCGATCGTTGGTTGATTTACAATAGGCACGATCTTACGAGCATTCTAGGGACCATGCCACGATACAACCGTTTTACAACGGTAGCATAATTGTAATTACAGCACAGATATTCCCGCCAAGAAACTAGGAGCTGGGACCTTGAATATGAAGGTCGGGCTAATTACTTTTACTAGGTTACAATGTATATTTGAATGTTTTCTTAATTACCGAGCAAGAGTAAATCGCGAAGAATGGACGCGTCCAATGTAGAAGAGAATCAAAGCAGGTCGAGACCACCGCACCCAGCACCGTCATAAAGGCCTCCAAGCGTAGCACCCGAGAATAAAAATTGGGGTTTGTCAGAGAAGATGGACAGATATCGCGCCCATCTAAAGGTGTCCGTTGACACACAACTTGCAGTTGTTGGACTGTGGGGAAAGTCAGCAATTTGAACAACGGTCAATTAATTGGCCAACTCACAGCAGACAAGATGCTGGCAACGACGGCGGCCGTGCACTTTGAGTCTTCCTTGACATCTACGTCAGAGTCAGTGCTTGTCAGCTGGTGAAGATAGGAGGCGTTGCTTACCGAGGCCGCGAGCAGCAATTGCCCACATGCAGGTAACACCACCTGGAGTAAGGGATCCAAGGCAGCCTAGAACTCGAGTTAGATGGGGCACTTGGGCTGATATTTTGGATCCTTACTGAAGAAACGGCGCCAGCCGCAGTGCATGAAGGGCACATCGCTGCGCTTGTCGAGGTCCCTGGTCTCGACATCCAGCTCGGTATCTAGTACGATGGATCACGTCAGTCGTGGCTCTAGTGAGAAAATTCTGCTTCGCTTTTCTCGGTTCGAGTTATGCGAATATGCATACCCTTGAAGTAGGCTTCGAGGGCAGTCTTCCAATCCTCGGGAAGATTATCCGGGATCTCGATGTTGTCGGCAGCTCTGAGAGCAAGGGAGCTTTCATGGGAAGGCATGTCGGCTGGCACAGCCAGAGCCAAGGGAGCCATGATCAGGCAGGCAAAAACAGAGCTGAACTGCATCTTGAATTATTACGTAAGAAGAAGGATGTTTGGATGTCGAAAGAGACTTGAGGTTTTGTAGTGCGGTTGCTGCTGATGAACAAAGACTGAAAACTGGGATTGAGACTTCTACTACTTATACAAATCAATTGATGCTTAGGAGAACGTAGCGGGACTAGCTGCGTCGATGTCATGTTGCCTGTAGTTGACGACTTCTTACAGTTGAAGCCTTCACATTCAACTAACCTAGATGCATCTCGACTTTGATTGGCTACCACGCGGTCCGTAACCACATCATCATTGGTCAGAATCATCAGTCGAGTCCTGGGATATCTCGCCATACCAGAGATAAGCACCGTTCTTTCGGAAAAATAAAGGCTTGAGTTCGATTAATTTACTTTGACATTTCGAAGCCCCAGTTAGTTCGTGGCTAAAACGTGTCATTGAGTCAAGTCGTAGCCGTGCTGCCGAGCATCCGAGTAGTAATTGATTATTTGGGGTCCACGCACGAACTCAAAATCCGGTGAGGCTAGCAAAGATCTCATTCTTGTTAGACAATTGTCCACTCATGCGCGGTTTGAAATCCACGAGGAGTTCGTTTCATTAAACCTTGTCAAGAGTTATCGGCTCATCGGAGGCTGTCAACTGCAGCCCCGCAACGCCATCGCGAACTTTTGTTCCCAGTGAGATGTGAGATATCATGGACCACGAAAAGAACGTGAAAGATTCTGGGGCTCTCATAGGTCAGCTTCATACGCACAGGAAACGAGGTCTCAATGAGCGGCAACATCTAGCGTAATCCATCTAGCGACAATGAGACCATCATCGACTGCAAAAAGCACGTCAGTCGAAATATATATAATCGCAACCCAAGAACGACTGTTGTAGTTGTATCATCTCATCACACAAACACAATCACTCCTTCAATCACCATCTTAAACTCTTCTCACTCCCTCCGAGTTTACTTCAATCACAATGGCGACCCTCAGCCGACCCGTCCTCTTCCTCCTCACCACGCTCTTCCTCTTCTACGGATTCAGCGCCGCCTTCCCTTCCTTCCCCGGCGCTCTTGAGCCGCGCTGCTGGAAAAAGGGCTGCGACCACTGCGAGCGCTGGACCGTCACAATCGACCACCCCGGCTCCTGCAACAGCGTCAACCGCGACAACCTCAAGGCTGCCATCGACAGCACCTTCGTCAACTATGCCGGCAACTGCAGAGGCGAAGAGGCCGCCTTCAACAACCAGGCCATCCCTGGCATTCAGGGCATTGGCTGCAGAGTCACTGTCCACTTCCCTCGTGGCAACAAGGGCGTCGACTGGGGTGGTTTGATCGGTTCCAACCTGGTTGGCACCGCCAGCTGGGCCATCTCTGGCACATCGAACGATGGCAGTGTTCACTGCGGCGGTGCTTGCCAGTGGTGATTGTTGTGTCGATGCTTTTGCTTCGGCGACCGACCGCCACAATTACGACATGCGGCTATGGAATGAACGGGGATGGGGGCGGGTGATGTTTCTTGTGTGGTCTAGCTTCTCGAGTGCTTCAATTCTGTAGCGATGCTCTCATTGGTCATCGTTCTCTTAGTTCTATACTTATTGGTTCCGACCTGATGTTTTATTCTAAGGCACGATCAATTCTCTTCGAAAATCTAGAAATCCCAATAATATTCAATCGTCAAATCGTTTGGCAATTGTAAAAGTGAATGAGTGAAAAGTTATTACTGGCATGATGATCAATGACATGGGTGACAGATGTTGCGATACACTGGGGAAAAGAGCACTGCGAACGTGTTCCTGCAACGATGTTCTGAGAGACTAAATATAATTAACCAAATGATAGAACAACCCATGTCAACTCCTTTGCAAAGTTGCAGGCAACCTATTCGCCATCATCAGCTGATTGGATAAGGAACCATATGCCACTCCTAAAATGGTAGCATCCAGCTCCACTGGCAACCTGGGCTGTTTCGCATTTTCACCACCTCGTCTCAGTATGCAGCACACGAAAACGCTTGCTCTTCATCATGATTTAATTTACTTCGCCCGATGGGCTAGCCTCAGAAACCAAGGCCATAGTCATTACGCATTTTTATACAATGTCATCAAGTCATTCATCAGAGAGCCTCCCATCGCAATTCTCCCCTTACAACTTAGCCGCATCCTTGGGGTTCTTGATCTCAACAATCAGTTTGCCTGTGTTGATGCCCTTGTACAGGTCAACCAGGGCCTGCTCGGCCGCCTTGAGACCGCCCTTGATGATGGTCTCCTTGCGCTTGAGCTTGCCCTCCTCGAGCCATTGGGCGAGCTCCTTGCGGGCCTGGGGGTACTCCTTGATGAAGTCGAAGACGATGAAGCCCTGCATCTTGATGCGCATAGTGATGATGTTGGCGTAGTTCTGTCGCGTGTCAGCTAAAACGTTCTGTTCGGCAGTGGGAGATGAAGCGACTTACCCTGGGACCTTGAGGGGTGGCAGAGTTGTACTGGCTAATACCACCGCACATGACGAAGCGGGAGTGCTCCTTGGCGCGCGCGAGCGCCATGTCAAGAATCTCTCCGCCGACGTTGTCAAAGTAGACATTGATAAAGTCGGGCGTCGCCTCCTTGAACTTCTGCTTGAACTCGGGGTCCTTGTAGTTCAGCGCGGCGTCGAAGCCGAGCTCCTCGGTCAGCCAGCGGCACTTGTCGTCGGAGCCGGCGATGCCCACGACGCGCGCGCCCTTGAGCTTGGCAATCTGGCCGGCGACGCTGCCGGTGGCGCCCGCGGCGCCGGAGACGACGACAGTCTCGCCGGGCTGCGGGTCGCCGACGCGCAGCATGCCGAAGTAGGCCGTCAGGCCGGTCATGCCGATGGCGGAGAGGTAGTCGACTGGCTGGGAGACGGCGGGGAAGGCGGAGACGGGCTCGATGCGGCTGTCGTGCAGGACGGCGTACTCGGACCAGCCGCCGAAGACGGGGAGGACGTCGCCCTCCTTGGCCTTGGAGGACTTGGAGGCGACGACGCGGCCGACTGTGGCGCCGCGCATGGTCTCGCCGATCTGGACGGGGGGAAGGTAGGATCGCTTGTCTGCATGGCGGAGGTTAGCTTTCGTAATGCAGTTGGGAGCGTCTTTGGGGCAAATTTGTACCATTGAGCCAGCCGCGCATGGCGGGGTCGAGGCTGAGGTACCAGTTCTCGATCAGGATCTCGCCATCCTTGAGGTCTTCGGCCTTGGGGACGGGCTTCTGCTCAGACTTGAAGGTCTGTCCGGGAACGATCTCGGCCTTGGGGCGCTCGGCCAGAACGATGGAGAGGTTTTGTTGAGACATGTTGGGAGGTTGTATGGACTGTACTACAAGAGAGAAAGATTCAAAGGAATTTGACCAGAATTTTGGGGGGGTATCAAACAAATAGCAAAATTTAATCAACACAGAAGACTTTGAGTTTCGTAGAATTAAATTGCTCGTGCTAGGAACGGGAGGCCGATGGGGGTTAAAGTAGTTTCTTGAGTCGTTCGGTCTCCCACGTTCCTCGGGCGGTGTTACTTACCCCTCCAAGACCATCTCACCGTGAATTGCCGCCCTTTTTCTCGCACCACATATTTTTTTTTACCTTTGGTGCTCATGCTCATGTCATGACTTCATGCCCCGCGCCGGAGCAGTATGACGAAGAGGGACATTGGGCCGCACGAGCTCCGAGCCTCGACGAACGATCGAGGAATGTTCTCCGGCGCACGGAGCATGGACTAGTAAGGATGGGGCCTGGACGCGTCTTCAATGTCTCTGAGCTTCTGGCGGGCGAACTGCTGGCCGGTTCCCCCGGAGTCGCCGCGCAACCGCGGGGCCGCACCCTTGGCGGCGAATCGTGTGTATGGGGACGGAGATTTTCCCCGTCGGGATGTGCACCTCAGGAGGGGTCTTCTTCGGAGGGGTCCATAGTTGCAACTGTCTATCTGTGGATGATGAGGGCTGGGTTTGCTGGGTTTACTGGGTATCCGTACGGATGAATAACCTTGAGGGATTGCTACACCACCATAAGAAAGAGGGGGGGCTGGAAGGCACAGCCGGAGCCTGGATTGCTCTGTGTCGATGTTTGACGTGGTGGTTGCACACTTTGAGTCTCTAGTAATCGTTAGGCACCGGCTTGCTGCGTCTTGGCCTCCGTATCCGTTGGTGGGGCTGAATAATCGGACATGACGCCATGCCGAGGCATGAGGGGCGGGCGTCGCGCGACAGTGACACCTCAGCGAGCTGCGAGTAATCAGTCCTGTCAGACATGGCTGCCGACGTCCTTCGGGCCTGTCGCTGCTTCAGCTTCAACGTTCAAGGGACCCTCATGCGGGAACGGGGACGTCGGGACGGAGCAGCTGGGATGTTAGGTGGGGTGATGGTGGATGAGGCGGCGGGCCTTGCATGCCCGTTCTCGGGATTAGCAATGCGTTGTGTTGCTGTTTCACCAAGGGTAGAGAACCACAAAGACTATCTGTAACCTAACAAGGAAACCTCCCGATGTTGTCGGTGTATATAGGTACTGTACTCTATTCAACATAAACTGGGGAGCAGAAGGCACTAGAGATGCCCGTAGAGCAGCCAATTGAGTGTTTCGCAATAACGAATGCGAGTGCTGTTTGAGAGAAAGAGACGGAGCTGTTGACGTGTCCGATTGGACGCCCCCATTCCTTTGGGGGCTCCGTGTCTCGAAGCCGAGGCACGTTGCTAGAATTTTTCCTTTTCTTGGTTCACCGACGGTCGACGCTCCCAATGCGGTCCGGTCGACGATGCAGTTCGGCCGATCGGCCGGCTCATGGGCTGTATCAGATTCAATCCCGGTCCCGCCAATCGTGCCTCGGTATGGGGGGATCTGTCAGCACTTTGTTAGCGTCGGTCATCCTGAACATGGGTCGGTCGATGCCCACTTTGTCTCACCGAACATACCGAGGATCTCTCGGTCACCACCGGTCAACTCGGTGAGCAATATCTTCGTCTACCCAACACAATGCCTGTGTTTCACGACCCTTCCACACTTCCCATGGCTTCGAACCCAAAGTCGACACCCCATTGTCTAAAGGTTTGGCCAAGTGACACCAGAACATCTCGTTCCACGTCTTGCCAAGCTGGAGACAGGTACCTTTCGTTCGCTAGATATTTCGTTCCTGTCATGTGCCTAAGCAGTTCGGCGTGGGGATTCTCTCCATGCAGATAGACCTTGCGCAGGCGAGGGAATCCGTCTGCATCTCTCGCAAAGCGAAGCAAACTCGGAGCCAGATCTTGGCTTACCCCAGTGATACGGAGATCTTCAAGACAAGATGGCAGTACCTCGACCAGCCTTTCGCCTTCTGGGTCGTCATTCAGGATGTTGATGACTGTGCCGGCATTTCTGCCGTAATTGATGCTCCAGGGGCATGGCCCAAGAATGGCGTCTTGGCACAAGTGAAGAGTCTTGAGGTTGGGAAAGTGGCGAAGCGTTTTGATGACTGGGCTTTGGACCAGCAAGTCCACCTTTTCTTCACGCATGAGTGGCCAGTCGTTCCTTGCTTGGCTGTGTCTCTCCCAATTAGAAAACGGTTTCAGCTCGAGATGCTGCAGAGTGTTTCTGTGTGGCCACAAGAGTAATACAGCTTGCCACGGTGTGAACTGCTCGGTCGATGAATAATGGGTATTCTGTTGCTCGCTCATGATGCGGTCCTTGCGAACGTTTCCTCGTGCAAAGATGAAGGTCTCAAGAATCTCTCCCTGAGTCAAGAGATATCTCAAGTCCGCAAAACTGAGCCGGCAATTGATGAGTCGCATGATTCTGACTCTTCCGAGGTGCCGAGACTTTATCTCGACCCCGCCTGCACCATGTACGCAAAGCTCTTGCAGCCGTGGGCAGTGATCCATCAGAGCCGCCTGGATGTGCATGTCCCCCAGCACGTAGCTGCCAATATGATGGCCGGCTTTGAGCTTTGGGCGAAAAACAAATCTCAGCCTTTTGATGCCTGGTGCCGGAAATTCCAAGCCATGTTGATACAAGACCTCCTTCTCCTTGCCATAGGCTTGATCCTGCGTCTGCCGATGGGAGCAGTCCACAGTGACTTCGAGGTGCTCGAGGGCAGGGTATCGAAGGATCCGAAGAAGCCACTTGGGGTTTTTGGGGGCAGGAACTCCTGAGAGATCAAGCTCAACATGTCTAACATAACCAAGAGCACCAAAAGAGTAGAATGGTGTGCTTCCTGAAAGGATGTTATCCGTATTTCGGGGGTGTCCCTTGACTCCCTTCTTCGTCCCTGAGGATCTGTATGTTAGTAAAGTTTTATCAACACGCGTTTAGATGTGACTGACCCTTTTTCCCGTCAACCATTGTCCAATCGGAAGCAAAGACATACTCGAACATATCCGTCAACTTCCCGCGCCATACTCTAGCACCGGGAGTCCTTTCACGACCATAACGGTCATGGCTCAGATGAAGGGTATGCCATGCGTACGGGCCGACCAGGGAGCGAAGCCGGGAGCAGGTCTGAGACAGGTTGGCGAGGGTCCTCTGATATGTCCAGGCATCGTCGTCGTAGGCGGCCATGTTGCTGTGCCTCCGACGGATGCGGTCAGCACCAAGATGGCCGATAATTTCGAGTATGAGATCGTCGCAAAGATGGGTAAACCGCAATCCCCATATGCTGGGACGGTTAGGTTCTTTCAAAATTATCCGGGACTCAGGTCCCCAAACTCCTCCATAACGTTTCCTGGCCGCAGGGTGTGCCAATCCCCAACGACAGACCTCAGGCTTTGGATTAGGCATCTTGAGTAAGCTACCAGGTGCCTGGCCAGGACGACGGGCGATGTTCCAAGTCGATGATGGGCGGCCGGATTGAGAAAATGTTGCGTTCTAATTAATAATATTGGAAAGTGCTTCATGTTCTTACTTCATATCATGTTTACAGTTTTGCTTTTGAGTCACGGTACCTAGATAGCCATGGCACCTTGGTGATTTTTGGAATCTTTTCAGGCTTTCACGACGACTTGATAGACCGCAGACGTCCACAACGGTTCTGGTAGACGATTCAATGGGATTAATTCAATTACTTGATTCTTTGAACATCCTCATCAATTTCCTGCTATTACATATCAGTATCTTCAAATGACTATGGATATTGTTGGAGAAGGGAGTATGCATATATGCGATCTTGGGTGTATCAGATTCGATATGTATACGTATAAGGGGGTATATAGATACGCAGAAAGACCCACTTCATCCGAACGCACCTGCCTCCCGTCGCATCGACAACCTGGTAACCATCGTCAACAATCTTGAAGCTTCATTTTTTCGCGCCCGCCCATCGTCTTCCAAAAACGCCCGGCGCGAAGGTGCCCAGACTCCGCGATTCGAATAGCCAGCAGGCATCTCCTCTGATCAGGCGGCATATCAACATGGCAAACGAGTGTGGCTGTGCCCTGGATTGAGCCGCCGGCTGATTTTCTGAGGGATCATCCCCGCGACCGAGATTACCGTCGACTGTTCCTACGATCCGAAGAACCTTGGCGACTGCAATCTCAACGAAAAGCTTGCTCGAACTCCACGATCAGATACGGATCAGCTGTTTTGACGACGGTTGCATTCCTTTCCAGGTCCATTGTGCATTCCTGCGACCACCCAGCTCGAAGTGAGACATTGCGCCACGCCCAGCAACGACAACAAATTCAACGACTATCCTCGGCTCGAACACGATGAAATGACCCAGAGACCAACGTCTATATAGAGAGATCCAGAAGCTAGTCATCGCGCAAACGCCCTGCGAGCGAATCCTTCACCGAACCGCAACCCCACCACATCAGCCGAGACACCCGGTCTCTCCGTCCAGATAACAACTGCAGTACTTCGACATCAACCGCCACCACCGACCGAGACCCGAGATCCGTTTATCAAGATGCCAATGACACCACAGCAGGCCACGCACCTTAACCGGCAGGCGCGACGCCGGGCTGAACGGGCAGCAGAGGAGATGTCCTTTGGCAAAGTCAGCTCAGAAGATTATCTCATGCGACTGCGATCGAGACGACGACCAGGGAGGCCATATGAAGTAGAAGATATACCTGCTGCAGTGGAGATCGAGGACGATGACGACGAGCCCGCTGTCCCGTCTTGTGACTCCAAATACTCGTCGAATGCAAGATGGAGTTTTCCCCAGCATCGCGAAGCGCCTCCGAGGATGGGCGCCACAGCCCATGTTCCACGAACGCTGGCGGCAGTCAGGGCAAGAGATGTCTCTAGCCCCAGCCCCATAGCCAGATCCTCGACGAGATTCAGTGCCCCCTCGCGGGGATTATATAGCGACCGCCCGAGGAGCCAACACGACTTGCTTTCCATATCCCAACATACCTCAGTCACTACGTTGGGCTCTGGGACGCCCTCCAGTGCGTCACAATCTAGGTCAACGTTGAGTCTGATAAGTCCAAACAAATCAGTCCGTAGGGCAGCATCCGTTGCTGCCCTATCTACGAAGCCAGACGCCTTCGAAAACGATAGTCCGCAGCGTCGAGGCCATAGTCGCAGCCAATCAACCCAGACTGTCAACTTTTCCGACGGTCCTTTGCCACGGGGCACTCTGCAGAAGAGGAGCTCTCTACGCTTACTCAAAGACAAGATACGACGAGTGGCGAGCGCCTTCGAACTACGTTCAGCACGAGACGACGAAGAGACGTCTGAGAAGCTGGACCTGAAGCACAACAAGTCCACGAGAAGCCTCTTGCGATATTCAGGCACGCGAATCCGTCGTCGTCGCCTAGACACAGTGAACGAGGAAACCTGACCTCTTGATGGAGCACATGCCGATGCGCCCGATTTATTTTGCATGAGCAAGGAGTTCTTGAACATTCCGTCTGTGCTGTTCTACTTGGCATCGGAAATGCGCATTTGGGAGCTCGATGTTTACGTTGGAGATGTGATACGATGATTATTCCGGTTGATGACGATGCCCGCTGAGGGCCACGTCGTTGCAAGATACCCTTTTGGTGCTCTACTGCATAGCTAATGACACTGCGTTTCCATGCCTCCTTTGTCATCTTTGTCAAGCCTTCAAAGTAGCCTGGAATTGAGGGGAGAAGGGGTAGTCAATGTACCCTGTTGGCAGCTTCGGGGTGTAGAAATACGTCCGCTCATATCTCTCCAGGTTGATATCCTCCTTGATCCGGAAGACGAGGTCCGGGTTCGAGATGAAGAATCGGCCAAAGACGATGACGATGTCGTAGTCCTTGTAGGTCTCCTCAACTGCCTTCCTCGCCGTCTCTGTGTTCAATCCTCCGGCGAGCAATACGGGACTTGCTTTATCCCACAACTCTACCAGCCACTTGACAGTTCGCTGTCCACCAGTATCCGTGTCATCGTTGCCGCTGATTCTCGCCTCAATCAGATGCAGGTATGCCAGGCCCAGCGGCTTGAGCTGCTCCGTCACGTATTTGAATGTCGGGTCCGGATCGTCCATGAGCATCCCCTGAAAGTCGCTGTACGGACTCAGCCTGACGGCCGTCCTATCGGCTCCGACAGCTTCGATCACGGCCTTGGTTACCTCCAAATGAAAGCGCGCTCGCTTCTCGATACTTCCGCCCCAGGCGTCATTGCGCTTATTACATGTATCCTGAAGGAACTGGTCTGGAAGATAGCCATTCGCGCCATGAATCTCCACGCCATCGAACCCAGCCTGGATAGCGTTCCGCGCAGCTTGCGCATAGTCTTGGATGATTTGCGATATATCATCCTCGGTCAACTCCACCGGCGTTGGACTGTCTTCGTTGATGGGGACGGCGCTCGATGACTCCAGGTTCAAGCCGAGCTGCTGGAGAACGTCGATCCTGCCGCCGCGGCCAAGATGCCATAGCTGGCAATAGATGAACGAGCCCTTTGCGTGAACGGCGTCCGTGACTTCTTTCCAGGCGGCGAGGTGGGCGTCATTCCAGATGCCGGGTACGTTCCAGCGGCCGGCGGTGCGGTAGGATATCAGGGTTCCTTCTGAGATGAGCAGTGTGCCGGGCACGCAGGCCCTCTGCTCGTAGTACTCTGAGGGTATGTCAGTTGCGTGCTTGTGAATGAAGGCATTCACGCTCACCCTTCATCATCGGTGTTGGAGTCCATTCATCGTCCGCTCGGTACCGCGTCAACGGCGCCAACGCTAGCCGGTTCGCCAGCTCAATACCCCCGACCTTCAACGGCTTGAACAGTTTCGACATGACTGCGATTGTCGTCGTCTGGACTCAGATAAACTGACAACCCGACAAACAGTTGGTATTGAATAGCCGCCAGTGAGTGCATTACAAAGCGATTATTCCATGTCGCCATCGAAGCACTCATCGGCCAGCGCTACGCCGTAGGGCGAAGGATTCCGGCCCCCGCCACACCACTCGTGCCGATGGATGCCGCCGTCATTCATTCCCCCGCCTCCATTCCATCACCACCCGTCTCTGCTCCTCAAGAGTTTATCTCAGCATTTACAAACTTGTCATCATGAACACCAATTTTCGGGCTTCAGCGAGCCACCGTCACTTGTTCCCACACCCTTAAACCCGTGCAATACCCGAAACGGACCCCAACGCCCATCATCCAACTCCGCTGAAACTTCACGTCCACTCACTGCCTCCACGGACGCGTATCGGCTCAAAAGATGCCGACAAAGAAACCCGGCCTGGCGATCGGCCAAGGGGGCTGGCGAATCCGCATCGGGCTTCATGCCGACATATCCTTTTAGTGGACCTCCTCGCTTCGGGCACCGCTCTCTCACTGCCAGTTTCCCACCCTGCTGGAACGGATTCTCCCCCATTGGCAGGTTTGACGCAATGGACTTTGTGTAAGCAAATGGGCGGCGGCGGTTTGCGGGAGTCGAGACCCGGCGATTCGGCACCGAAAATCTGGAACACCGTGTTTGGGGATCCTTTTCCCGTTGTGTCTTGATGCTTGGCATTCTTTCGTTTCTCTATTCACGGAATTTTTGGTTCACGACATGTTAAGATGAAGGACGACGCGCCCACGACGGGCGTCAAAAGCGCTCTGCCAGAGGGCAGGGAAGCCGATTCGAGCAGCGACGAGGCCACCGCGCCGTCGCGGACGCCGCCGCCGGCCAAGGACGACAGTGATGCAGAAAGCGTCGGCGGGCAGAGGAACACCATGTCGCGGAAGCGCATGCTGCTGGCGTTCTCCGCGCTGTCGGTGTGCTTGTTTGTCTCGTTCATCGACCAGACCAGCGTCTCGACGGCGGTGCCGGCGATCGCGGGCGACCTCGACACCGGGACGGCGACGTCGTGGATCGGGACGTCGTTTCTCATTGCCTCTACTGCGTTTCAGCTCATCAACGGTCGGCTGTCTGACATTTTTGGGAGGAAGAATCTGCTCATGATTTGTTTGGTTTTCATGGCGGTTGGCGACATTCTTTGCGGATTTTCGAAGACGAAGGAGCAGCTGTTTGCGTTCAGGGCGATTGCGGGTATTGGTGGGGGCGGCATCAACAGCATTGTTATGATTATCGTGAGCGATATTACGACGCTGGAGAATCGGGGGAAGTACCAAGGTTAGTCTGGAAATCTCGCGATCAGAGGGACAGGATGCTGATGACTGGCAGGTGTTCTCGGAGCCGTCTTGGCGCTCGCCAACGGAGTCGGCCCCTTTGTTGGCGGTGCCGTCGTTCAGGAGTCAACGTGGCGGTGGGTTTTCTGGATGGTCCCGATCATCAGTGCCCCGGCAGCTCTGACGATACTCTTCTGTCTGCCTTTGAAGCATCAATCCGGCAACTACGCCGAGAAGGTGAAGAAAATCGACTACGGCGGCATTGCCCTCAACATGGCGTCGGTCTTGCTGCTGCTGATTTCGCTTTCCGGCGGTGGTGTGACTTACCCATGGTCGTCGCCTTTCGTGATCGCCTCTGTTACTGTCGGTGCTGTTCTGGGAGTCCTCTTCGTCCTGTACGAATGGAAGCTCGCAAAGCTACCGATCATGCCTCTCCGGCTATTCAAGGACTCGAAGTGCAGCTTCCTGTACGGCCAAACATTCCTCATGGGCCAGGCGTACTTTGGCAACCTGTTCTACTTCCCGATCTACTTCCAGTCGATACTGAAGTACACCCCGCTCGTGGCCGGCGCACTGATCCTACCGGTCATCATCTCGACCTCGATTCTTTCGATCCTCTCGGGCCAGTACATGCTTCGCATCGGCCGGTACATGCCTTGCATCCTCGTCGGTTTCTTCCTCTGGACTGTCGGCAACGGCTTGACAATCATCTTCGACCGCGATACGGGACTGGGCGAACTCATCGGCATCCTCATCATCGTCGGCTCGGGCATCGGTTTGACCCTGCAACCGACTCTGGTGGGAATGTACGCCAACTCACGGAGCGAGGACCGAGCCGTGACCACCGGCTTGCGGAACTTCATCCGCACGATAGGCGGCGCTTTCGGCCTCGTCATCTCGGGCGTCATCTTGTCGAATACGTTGAGGCGGGACCTGCGCGGTCGCGACTTTGTTTCGGATGCGATTATCGCGGAGCTCACTTCGTCGACGTACACGCTCGACCAGAAGGGGTTCTCGGAGGACGAGAAGACGGTGATATTGAAGGCTTACATGAAGGGGTTGCATTACATCTTCATCTACTACGTGGTTTGCTCTGGGCTCAGCTTGGCGCTGACGCTGGGGGTTGGGAACACGGGCTTGAAGGCGAAGAAGCCTGCGCCGGCGGAAGAGGTTTTGGAGGATCAAAACAACGCGCCGGCGACTACGCAAGTGAACGCAAGCGCAGATGAGAAGAAAATAGGTGCATGAGAGAGGTCTTTTTCAGATGCACAGCGTTGTGCGGGCTGCATAGAGCATTGGGTATGGCATCAACATCGTTCGAAGCATATAGCATTCAACTACAGGAGAAACTACACATGATCAAAAAGAAGAGTTTTAATCAGTACCACGCCACGCGCGCCATAGTCACATCTTGGAAGCTTGTTTGATAGTTAACTTTCCTCACGGAGCGGGCCGATGATCACTCACTTCCAACCCGGAAAGTCAACTCAGCTGCTCCCATCTCCCAGAACCCACATCCCCGCCACCAGATCCGTCCATCGACATCCGCCCATGTCCAATATTCCTGGGCATTACATCAAGCTGCATCTTCCAAGCTCGCAGCTCGTTATCTTTTACATAAGCCAAAACAAACATCCATCGGCGCCCACGCCGAACCCCACCATCGGCCCTCCGCCTTATCAGCACTCCCTTCATGGGGCATAATCCCCCGAGCTCCAACGGTTCGTTTGAGCCGATGCACCTCCAACAGCCGCCCGACCCCTGCAATGATGCAACCCCCAAAACCTCGAACCGCGACGCGCATTGCGATAACGAGCTGCACGCTCAGTCACACCGATAACGAGAGTTGTGGCGGGGTACGCTGTGGAGGGGCAATCGTGCCGGACGCGCATCACGGCTGATAGTGCGCGATGCGACGACGATAGGCACAGCTGAGCACGCGGGTGAGACATGCCGATGGGAGTGACGTTGCGAGGTATTTGTACGCTGCAGAACGGATGCACCCAGACGTTGCGGAGTGAGGTGAATGATTGTTTTCTCTTTTCCATTGACATCGCCACTTGGACCCTGTTTCAGGACATCTTCATTCATCCCACATCAAATCAGACAATCTTAAGCTAAGAAACATGCCTGAAGCCTACCACGCGCATCCCGACTACGGGTTCGACCGCGACTTCAAGGGGTACGGCGAGAAGGGCCTGGCCTGTCCCTGGCCCAACGACGCCAAGATCGCCGTCTCGTTCGTGATCAACTATGAAGAGGTCCGTTCGCTCACACCTCCCCTGCTCTGACACATGTTGACAACCTCTCAGGGCGGCGAGAGATCCGTCCTCCTGGGCGACGGCGTCTCCGAGACCAACCTGCGCGAGAACCCCATGGGCGGGCCCCGCGTCAACGAGCGCAACTACAACGTCGAGTCCGAGTACGAGTACGGCTCGCGCGCGGGCTTCTGGCGCCTCTTCCGGCTCTTCAACTCGCGCAAGATGAAGTTCACGCTCTATGCCGTCGCGCAGGCCGTCGAGGAGCAGCCCGAGGTCGCGAAGCGATGCGTCGAGGAGGGCCACGACGTCGCCTCGCACGCGTACCGCTGGGTTGACTACCACGACTTCCCGATCGAGAAGGAGAAGGAGTACATCCGCAAGGGCATCACCTCGCTGAAGTCCCTGACTGGGTATGCGCCGAAGGGGTGGTACTACGGGCGGCCGTCCCCGCACTCGCGGACGTTGATTGCGCAGGTGTATGAGGAGATGGGCGAGGAGCTGGTGTGGGCGAGTGATACGTACGCGGACGATGTGCCGTACTGGACGGACTTGCCCCTGGAGCGGGAGAAGGAGGATCCGAAGGGATGCTTGATGGTGCCGTACAGCTACGACTGCAACGACTTTAAGTTCCACATCACCGGGTCTGGATTCCGCGACCCGAATGGCTTCTACACGCACTTGAAGAACGCGTTTGATGTGCTGTATGAGGAGGGTCAGGAGGGTCAGCCGAAGATGATGACGATTGGGTTGCATTGCCGCATCATTGGAAGGCCTGGTCGATTCGCGGCGTTGCGCGACTTTGTGGATTACATTGCCCAGAAGGAAGGTGTCTGGGTTGCGACGAGAACGGAGATCGCGGAAGCTTTCAAGGCGAAGTATCCGTACAAGAAGGGACAATTGGCATAGATAGCGTCCAAGGAGTTGTATTGAATGTAAAGACAGAGCGCTAGAATGACGAATCTGATACCAACCCATAACCACAGCAAGCAAGGACATAGTGATCATCGTTAATAATGTCCCTCCAGACCACCAAAGTCCCATTCCGAGTCCACTGTTCCTATCGGAAGTACCTCCGGGATAAATGTTGAGTCGTACTCCGGCGCCTTTGCATTGCCGCCTCCGTCCCCGGGTAGAACTTCTTCGTGTCTAATCATTTCCATATGCTCAGGTATCGCATCGTCGTGCACCATCTCATTGAACATCCTCCACCCTTGCCACCCTCCTGGTGCTTCTTCATCCACCTCCATGAACGCCTCTTTGACTGCATCAGAAATAGCATGGCTCATACTCGGCCTACCTTCGTGTTGCGTGTTGGGCGACACGGCAGGACTCGACGGTGAGACTCCAGGCTCCGCTTCGAGGTCTACCTTGAGGGGCTTCAACCCCGAACCCGAAGTGGAACTTGGGTTGACAATGGTCTTGAACAGACTTCCGGAAAGAGCATCAAAGATGTCGCGGTACTTGACTGCTCCAGGCCACTTCTCGCCAAAGATCGTGAGTGACTGAGAACAAGCCCGAGTAGCTTCCAGCGCGTCGTATGAGAAGAAGGAGCGGTCTCTCCACAGGCAGTACACGAGCGTGAGCCCGGCAATGAAACATGAGTGCAGTGCCATCATCGTATAACTGAGAGTCTTTTGCTGATTGAGGCGCTTATATGTGGTGCATACGCAGGCTGCCGATCGTGCGCATGTCACGAATCTCGGGTCGGATGTGTTCAAAGTGGGAAGCAGAACGGTGAAGAGCGATAATATGGACTTGTGGTATTGTCTAGACAGTGTCAGCGCAGAGCCATAAGATGAGAATTAAAACAAGCTGTGACTAACAGATTGAAGAAGTCTCTTGAATCATGGTACGCGCTTTCTGGATCATACATCCACGTGATGGACTTGGAGTCTTTCGGCGAATGTGGGATCGTTCTCGCCCATTCGTCTAGTTCGCCCCGAATCGCCGTCATCTTCGAGTCAAGTTTAGCTCTCTGATCTGGCGATCCCGCAAAGACATCTTTGTCGACACGGTATACGCGCCTGTGGATTCTCGACTGTATTCGACGGAGCTTGATGATGTGAATGAACGGCTTCATATTTGACCAAGCTGGTTTGGGGGGTGCTGGCGGGATGCCCAGGGCTGTCAGGTCCCAGAAAGCTTGGTCGTCACTAGGCATCTGGAGGAACAGTGAGTAGGGTATCTCAAAATCGGCACAAGATTTGCGTTACCTCCACGTTGATATCTCTGTCATCAATGGCAAATGTTCTTCCCAACACCACGCTTGTCATTCTATCTAAGCAGTAGCAAGCCCAGAATGCCCGTCTTCTTATCTCAACGTCGCGCTGACTATGTGAGGACGTGCTTGCTTGCTTCCTGTGTAGGCCCAGTTCTATGCATAGCGTCACAGCGTATCGAACCTGCGACCAACAGCCAGCACCGAAAGGGCTTCGCTGGCCATGGACGGCAAGCAAAAGCAAGAATTGGACCGTTGCCAGGTTATGCTGCTCCAAGATAAAGTCCATCGGCTCGATGGCTGCTAGGAGATGACGCTGAACTGGTTAACACCTTGTCTAGCTAAGCTCATGGAAGGTAAACTCACTTCGGGATCAACGTCACAGGGCTTCTTCATCAACTGCACAAATCTGGCCGAGATTGCATAGATGAGGTGCAGGATGCTTCTTTGTTGTATCGGCAGAGCTCCCTGGCCGTACTGATTTTCGAACAGGATAGTAAACATCTTCCTGTCTAAAATAGGCCAGCGGGTGTGAAGCCGGTCGAAGAATACGTCAAAGAGCATTTTTGCCTGTTCCGGATGGGGAAATTCGGACATTGGCTCATCGGAATGTGAAGACGGGGAACCTGTTGATAGCGGTGGCCGAAGGACTCCGGGCTGAGCCGCAGTCATGGCTTCATTGATGGCTCTTCCCCCGGCTCCATGAAATATGGAAGACTGGATCATTCTCGCAATTGTCGCCCCAGAGCTTGAGCCAAGGTAGAACGGCTCCGGCGCAGTGTCCGTGGTCCCGGACGCACAGAGGGACAAGTACGCGACACCATCAACGAGAGAGGAGGGCTCCTCTTCCGAGAAGGAGTCTTGAGACTCTCGACGCTCGAACTTGTTCTCCTGTGGTGCCTCGGCCGATGATGTTGCTGCAGTGAAGTGATCCTCAGCGAAGTCTGGCATACGGGCTTCAAGGAACGCGATGCGCTCTTCCAAAGCACTGATGTACAACGATTTTCCGCCGGGGTAATGCGGTCTCAATGTTTTCTCATACACACACAGCACATTGGCCTTGTCGCATGACTTGCAGCTGGGATGGCCTCCATCGCACTATTCCAGGCTCCATCAGCACGGGACACGCCAACAGAAAAGCCGGTTCACGTACCCGTTGTTTTCTCCTCTTACAACGCTTGCAAGCGAGAGCGACTCGCGATTTACGGGGCGGCGGAGGTCCTCCAACGAGCGGGGCCGCGTGTGGGCTCACAGGGCTGTCTGGGTCAAATCCGGACCTCGCAGCCGACGAGTTGCTTGTGAAAGTTTGACCGAACATTGCTGCAGTCAGAAATCAAAAGTCAAAACACAAACAGTAATGTGTCGGTCTCTGTGAATTCCAGAAAGAATCGACGCAGGAAGATTTCCAGCCGATGGAGATTCCAGGGCAGAGATAGGAGAGAAGAGGGCCTCCAACTGTCCATGAATATGCCGATGCATGGAGACAAGATTAGCATGGGGTCATTCCTGTTGGCTCGTTGGAGATTGGAGCACTTCAACCCCACAGATTAGCTAGTCTTCTCCAGGTGATTCGGGCGTCCATCGTAGATAAGAACCCTTGTCCAGCAGTCCATGAGCCATGTCATCATTATCGACCGTCATATTCCCGCCCTCCGCAGGAACTGGCTTACAAACACACTGGTCTATTTGCGATTCTCTCCCCACAAAGTTGGCTGACAAGACACGTGCCTGGAAGAGATCTCGTCTCCTCCAAAATCGCGGGGGTGCAGCTCGGTTTATGCTAACGCCGGATGCCGGAAATATGGGCCCACCGGTCCCGTCTCGGTGTTCTCGGAGTGAGTCAGCACCCTTAAGATTGGCGCGTTGCAACGAAAAGCTTTTTTGAAAGCGCAGTTTTGTTATTTAGACGTTGCTTACAGCCCTAAGTACCGATAACGATGGCGGACGATTGGGATCCCTTCCAGCCTTGGCATCGTTGGCCGGATGACCTGGTCTTGTCAAGGATTGACCCCTCTTCGCCTAGACTCTCAACGAACTGGCCCAGACATTCACCGACTTGATGGCAAGGGTGACAACGTTTTCACCACTTACAGCCCTACAAGCCATGAGCTCGCCATTGTGGTCGCGAATAAGGATGAAGACCAAGAGCGCCATTTCTTGGAAAGCTTGGCAAGCCAACTTGGCAGTGCGGGGAGGATTGGGCTAGGCTTCTGTGTGATTAGAGTCCACAGTGGTTTCTTGGTCAAGAGGGAGTTCTTGAGGACGCATATATAGAGCGCTAAATGGTACCCTGATTGACTTTTGTTGTGGGTTTCTCGTCATACGCTCGCCATTGCCTAAGTTTCAAGCCGCAGCCGAGTCGATCTTCAGCTTCAACAGCCATGCATCGAAAAAGTCACGAAAAGAACGACGGACTTCCCGGCGTTCTTGAGGAAGTTGAGAGTACACTGAAAGTTGATCCAAATATTCGTGATTACTCTGGAGCCCACGAAAAGTCGGATCCTCGCGAGATTGCCCTCGTCCGGAAGCTTGATTGGTGGATCATGCCAATGTGAGTGGTTCTCTACACTGACACAACCTCGGACTCATTCTCTAACCAAATCGACAGATTATGGTTGATGGTAAGTGTCGCTCTATCAATGAACTTTTGTCTTCGGTATTGGATGCTAAGCTTGTCTTAGTATTGGCTCAATTACCTTGTGAGTAGACAATTGATGCCACCGAGTGTCTAGCAACCATTCACACGAACTAGGATCGAAATGCTATCGCGCTCGCGAGACTCAACACTCTCGAAGAGGATCTCAATCTCACTCCGACACAATACCAAACCTGCGTGGCCATTCTTTTCGCGGGATACGTCATCGTGGGTATTCCAGCTAATATGGTCGTTACTCGAGTGCGCCCAAGCTGGTGGATGGGCTCCTGTATGGCGGTATGGGCCGTCATCAGCGGCCTCACAGCCGTGAGCAAGGATTATACTGGACTTCTTTTCACAAGATTCTTTCTGGGCATTACCGAAGCTCCGTACTATCCCGGCGCTCTGTACGTGCTAGCAACTTTCTACACCCGCAAGGAGCTGGCGACCAGGATATCAATCCTGTATACGGGCAATATCCTGGCGACTGCTTTTGCTGGCCTCATTGCACTTGGAATCTTCCAGATGCATGGAATGGTAAGATACAGTTGCTTACAATAACTGAATGTTGCCTTGCTAACGATCTAAAGGCTGGGATTTCGGGATGGCGATGGCTGTTCATCATACAGGGAGTTGTTACCCTGATCATCGCCATCATCGCATTCTTCATCCTTCCCGACGAGCCCCTGACGACCCGATGGCTAACTCCTGAGGAGAGGATACTGGCGAACGAACGGATCCTTCGAGATACCGTGGGCAATACCGGACAAACCACCACTTGGAGTGGTCTCATTGAGGCAGCGAAGGACCCAAGAGTCTGGCTGTTTACGGCTATGCAGCACTTCCATCTCGGAGCAAACGGGTTCAAGAACTTCTTCCCCACTGCAGTGGAAACGCTTGGCTTTAGCGAGACAGTCACACTTGTTCTCACATGCCCGCCGTATCTAATTGCCGGCATAATTTCCATCGCCTGGTCATGGTCATCTGGGAGATTCAACGAGAGGACTTGGTAAGTGGGACCATTTTTGCCGTTACTGGTGACTTAACATCGAGGGTGCTGACATTGAACCCGCAGGCATATCACCATCGCAAAGGCGATTGCAGTCTTTGGCTTCGTTTTAGGTTGCGCTACGCTCAATACTGGTGCACGATACTGTAAGCATTGTCAAATACGGTCTTGAAGACGTTTTGCTACTGTCCTTTGCTGATGAGTGATTATCAATAGTCGCAATGTGTGTTTTCTCCATTGGGTAAATTCTTCAACACATCCACAAAAATACCGACCATCCTGGCTAAGCTCTGCTGCAGTACCCACAGTATCATCCTCGGCTGGGTGTCAGCAACGTGCTCTCAAACGAAAGAGAAGAAGGCTTCGTCTCTAGCCATAGTCAACTGTATTGCTGTTAGCTCTTTCATTTGGACACCATATATGGTACGTGATCCTTTCTGAGCGCACATTCAGTGTATTGATGGCATCCGCAGTGGCCCAAGTCCGACGAGCCTCGGTACGTAATGGCAATGTCCACGAGCGCGGCTCTGAGTGTCGCGACAGCCGCCGGAGCATGGGCCATGCGGGTTTGGCTGAAGCACGAGAATAAGAAGATTCGGCAGTCGGAAGACGAAAATGTGTTATTTTACGCCTATTGAGCGTCTGATCACAGGCCCCGGGATGCACTTCTTGGCTTGACCGAATGGGTCGATCCTTCAGACTCGACCCGCGAAAAGCTTTTCTCTTGCCAATCAAATGAAGGACTCCGCGACATTGAAAAGGGCCAAATTCCAGGGAAGAACATTGTGGGCTTGGCAATAGCGATGGAGCCCCGATGAAGGTGAAGCGCGGACTTCCGCGAAAGTCCGTGATCTTCCCGATTGAACATGTAAACGTCGGAGCGACACAAAGGACCGTCCCGATAAACAAGACGACGGCTCCATTTATCTATCTAGGACAGTGAAATACATGGTCTGATTATGGCCCTAGTCAGACCTGTAAACAAGGATTGGGTCGTCAACTACAGGGAACTTGTATGCGTCTAAAGGATGCAGCAATTGGAACAGTGTAGTAATGTTAAGACCGGTCCTTGAATCATCATCAACGATTTTCTCATACTTGTATTCACTCGAACAGAGTTCTGTCAAGACTCTTCAATACCTCACAAAAATGAGGCGTTGAGGGCATTGAACGTCGGGTCGCCTGTATCATGCGTAGGTTCATAGTTTTTTTTTAAGTAGCGAATGACGCGACGCCTTGTACCCATGGTAGGCAGGGTAGGGGAAATGCGGCAATTATCTCAGATCGAGTCACCAAGAGTCTTCCCGGCGCGGAGAGCTCGCTGCTGCCGGCGCCTTCATACATGCTGCCGTTTTGTGCAGCGTTGCAGCTAACATAGCACGACCGACTTTGACGGCACTGAAGGTCGCCGGTTGCATCAACGCTAATCCCAGGCACATCCAGTGATTTGTAAACATACGGAAATTCTCGCTCAAAAACTGACTCGTTCGTGGAGCTTGGTCTGCGTTGAAAGCTTTGCAAATGCACTCAACCAAACCCCGTGTACCGACCATCTGATGTCAAAGGGTGGGGGCTTACTGACATATCGGGAGTTGGAAAGTACCGTCCCGTATGAGAGGTAAAATCTTTGATCCCAACCACGTCACTTATGTCAAGAAAATGGGTCAGTGTTGAAGCCTATAAAGACTCAGCGATCTAATGGCCTGAGATGTTCATTCTGCGTCTTGTTCCGACAGTACATCAGACAATCATTCTAAGCCAATCAACTGCCTACCTATTCACACAAACATTCTTCATCTTCATACTCACCTCAGCCTGCAACGCTATCACTCACCATGGCTCCTGTTCACAAGCCAATCGACCGATCCACGACCTTTGCGTCTCTGTTGTCAACAACCCCACCAGTCGGCCCTGTCGTTCTTCTGAACGTCATTTCTATCCCTCCTGGAGCCGACAAGACAGCCTTCCTAGCGACTTGGCGCCGCTCTGCCGAAGTGCTGAAGAAAGCCCCTGGCTACATATCCACCCAACTACACCATGCAATCGGAGATGGCAACTTCATCGTCAACTATGCAGTTTGGGAGAACAACGAATATCTCAAAGATGGTTTGGCGCTTCCAGAGTTTCTCGAGGTGTGCCAGGACTTCCCGGAGGGCACCGAGTTCCGGGCTGCTGTTTTGCAGAAGGCTACGGTGAAAGACGTTTGTGTCGGAATCTGAACAAGCCCCTTGTATGCATATGGGAGACTGAATTTGGAAGGCTTTGATGTATCAATCAATTGACAGACATATTCAAGTCATCTCAGGAAAGTGCAGTCGGGGCCAATGATGTCAACGGTCGGTCTGGTTGGGGACTTTGGTAAATGGTGTTATAAAGGATCCCATGCCTGTAACGATTTGCTTATCTCATTGGTCAAAATTACGACGGCCCAAGATTAGCTGAACAGAAATGCAAGTGACGTGAACAACCTGTGCAGCTGTGCTAACGAACTTTCCAACTTCAGCATGATGAGCTGACGTGATTCAAGTCGAACTTAACACCAGACCACGCATCCAAAACTCGTGGCAAGGCAAGATTTGGGGTGTACGACTCATATTTCAGAACCCCCCCCCCCCCCCCCCCCCCCCCCCCCCCCCCCCCCCCCCCNTTTTACCCCCCCCCCCCCCCCCCCCCCCTGCTCTCGTCTCTTTTTCCTTGTCGCAGATTGGAACCTCTTCAACATGGCGGAATCAAGTTTGTGTTCGTCATGCCTTGAAATCTTCAGCGGCAGCTACATCACCGTTGGGGAATATCTCAAGCATCACTCCGATCAGATCCCGCACAGCCAATTACTGTTGCCCACTGAAAGACATCACTGGAGGCTCAGACTTGACGTATCCCCAGCGTCACAGAAAAGACCGTCACTGTATCTCCATCATTCTATCCAAAAGCTTGCCGAGGCACGACATGGGTGCTCACTCTGTGCCATGATCTACGATCAGCCGAAGGATCTCAGCGACGATTATGAGGACCACAACTGGGCGATTCCAATGATTGTTCCGCAGGAATATTTGTTCCCTTGGGGCGCTTTCAAGTTGTGCTTCCTGTATGTCCAAAGCGTCAAAGATGGCATCTACACTCATCGGGGCATTCGAGAACTCAACAACTTTGAAGTTGTGGGTAAGTCGTCACTGAGACTCTAATTTTGACGCATGATCTGGGCTTGTTGAAGACTGAATAAATGAGGCAGATATGTCAATTCCCAGTGACACCAATAGTTGGTTGCCGGAGCTTTCTCGTCAGAATGCACTGGTACGCATCAGAGACTGGCTGCACGAGGAAACACCACTCCCATCGATGGGTCTGACCTCCACCCTCCCAACGAGACTCATACACTTCCTCCCGGCAAATGCAAGCGAAAAGTCAGAAATGGTGAGGCTGGAAACAAATAACATGAACGCCACCACTGAATACGCTGCGTTGAGTCATTGCTGGGGAGGGAAGCACCCCATTATGCTGCGCCATGAGAACCTGAAGGAACTAGTTGGCGGAGTGCCTCTGAACACTCTTCCAAGAACCTTTCAGGATGCCATCAAGCTTGCTGCGTCTTTAGGCATCCATCATCTCTGGATCGACTCTCTGTGCATCATTCAAGATTCCAAAGAGGACTGGGAGGCCGAGGCAGCCCGCATGGCGTCCGTGTACCTTGGTGCCAAGGTGACAATTTCCGCGACTGCCGCAGATGACTCGTCAACGGGTACGATGCCCGACTCCATGCTGCGGTATCCTGCGTACATCAAGCCGACCTGGACTGGGTTTGAGGACATCCCAATGCTCCAAAAGCCATTCAGAATCATCGACAACACGTCATTCAGCCGTCGCGTCCTACTCCGAAACATATTCACTCGTGGTTGGGTGTACCAAGAGCGAATCCTGTCGCCGAAGGTCATTCACTGCGCCGACGATCAGTTGTGGTGGTTCTCCATCTCCGACGCTAAAGGATATGTTTTCAACGAGACCTGCAAGGGACACGAGTTCGACGTCTTGCGCGTGTCCAGCCTTTCGCAGTCTGTTTCTCCATCTGAGCTATATTCTGTGCGGCCGAACTCGGAGGCTTCGCCCTCAAGACGTGTTTGGTGGAGTCTGGTGGAAGACTACATGACGCGGCAATTTACGTTCGATTCGGACAGGCTTATTGCCATCGGAGGCGTGACATCCGTCTATCAACGACTATCAGGCTTGCGCGAAGACGCCTACCTTGCCGGGTTATGGCGGCATACCCTCCTTGAAGATCTCCTTTGGACCACGCGAGAGGGACGACGATCATCTCCTCCACAAGGCTACCGTGCACCATCGTGGTCATGGGCATCCATGGAACCGATTCACTACCATGCCCACAAATTCTCACTAGGATCGGTGAACGTGCAGTCTTCGTCCGACGGTCTCCGAACATTCGGTTTGGTAGCCAGCGTCGAAGATGCCAACGTGGAAACCACTTCGTCGAGGTTCGGCTCGGTGGTGAACGGGCACCTAGTTCTTCACGGCCCTCTAATCAGAGCCAAGCTCTCATCACAAATGATCGACGTTCCAGGGGCCTACATGTATGCCTCAGGGATTTCGGAGTTCTTCCCCGGCGGCATATTGAAGTACCAGTTGAGCACATTGTCGCTGCGCAAAAGAGAGGACGCCAAGGAGAAAGAGATAGCTGATGTGATTGCGGACGTGGACCTTGTCACCAAGCCTACTTTGGACGACACGTTCCCCATTTACTGTTCGATGGGGGAGTCTGTCGTCTACCTGGCCGTTATTGAGCACCACCAGTTCACGCAGGACAGCAAGCTAAAAGCGGATAGGGCCCACGCCCTCGTGCTTGAGAGGGGCTTGTACGATGGGGAATATCGCAGGATTGGATATGTTTACATGGCGCCAACTGTATTGTATCCCTTATCCTTGCATGGGACATTTGGCGCTTTTGATCCCCTCAACCAGGACGAGTACCTGAGGGTTGGGGAGAAACCCGGGACTACGTTTATCGAGTCGTCTAATCGGTTTGTGGGGATTGAAGCGATAAGTTCCGTCATGTCAACATGCGAGCCAGTCACGATTCGAGACAGGCTGGTCTAAAGCCGGGGGCGACTCAGTAAGATGTCAGTTGTCTCGCTGCTCTGGTTTGTACCCTTGCTGTCCTCGCTTCAGAAGGTGGCAGCACCTTCCAATGTCAGCTGAGGGAACTGTCGTGTGTTACAGGGGTCTGTAAATTACAGTAGAGGGTCGCCCACGCCAACCAACTAAAAACCCGCTCAACCCTTGCATTCAAGCTTTTGGTAGGTTGCCACTGAGGATCTTGTTCTGTTAAGGTTGGGTGTGGCTTAACAGCCCCAGTACCGAAGGCTCAAGCGGGACATGGGTCGTTTGGCGATGTTTACCTTAAGCGTACATTTGCGCCGTGGTTGCAGTGTGAAAACCTATCATTCCGCACTTATATTTAGCATGCAGTTGAAGCCAAGATTGACGATGTTTAGCCATGAAAGAGTATCAGTGCAAAAAAGCTTTGTGAAGATTGAAAGTCGAAGAGAAACATAAAATCTTCGCATTCGCTTTTCGGTCTTGCCGCCTTTATTCAACCGTAAGTTGTGTTCCTGCTCGCTCTGAACCCACGTGGATCTGTAGTCCGAGTCAGAATCGTCAGTTGTTCGATTGAACAGCCCGGGGTAGGCGAGATCAGGGGGGCGCTCTGCCCCAGTGCGAGTCATTACCTGTTCGAGAGGAATGTGGGCGTGGTTTCCCTCGCGTGAAACTGAATGCAACCCTACCCCGGCTGTTGTCCAAGACATCTCGACTTTAACATGCGGTTGTCCCCTCTCTCCCCATCTCGGAAGATTCTTTTCCTCTCTTTTCCCTTCCCACTTGGATTCTCCGCCAAGTCAGAGGCACGTTCTCAGACATGCAAACTTCAACGACCACGGTCGCAGGATGATTCCCTACACCAACATGGCTATGTTACCAGAGGCTAAGGTGTATTTGATCGCGAATTCGGTATTGGTGTTTGTTACGTTGTTGGTGGTTGCCCTTCGAGTTGTCTCCCGTGTTTTGGCCGGCTCAAAACTTGGTTGGGATGACTACTTTACTTTGTTGGCCGTGCCCCAGGGCATTGTCATGTTAGTGTTACAAGGACTTTGTAAGTCTCACGACATACTGCGCATTTCAATGAACATTCTTCTTAACTATATCTCAGGGACTGCTGCAGGTCTTGGCTACGAGTTGGCGGAAATTGGTGATAACTGGACCTTTGTAGACTCGGTGAGTCTCTATCTCATAACAATAATACTCAACTCTTCCCTGTTCGGACGGTCTGCTAACGACATGTTATCCAGCTTTTCCTTCCCTTCGAAACCATCTTTGGCGTCGTCAGCCTGACGACGAAACTTAGCGTTCTCTTTTTCTACCTTCGAGTGTTCACAAGTCGACCTATGCGCATCGCGACTCGATTGACCTTCGTCATCGTCATTCTTTGGGGCATCGGAAATGTCCTCCAGACCGTCCTCGTCTGCCACCTCACGGACGGAAAATGGCACGCCACGAACAAAGATATCTGCCGCGATCACGAAGCTAGCATTCTATCGACCGGGCTTTTCAACTGCATCAGCAACACCATAATCATGGTCGTCCCACTGTACACGATTTGGACGCTGCGAAAGGTCAGCGTCTCGACACGATGGGGCCTCAGCGCGGTATTTTTGTTGAATCTTATGTGGGTACCCCTCCAGTCGCCTTGGCTCTCGGCGATTGATGCTTGTTCCCGATGATCACCGAGCTAACGATCACATAGCGCAATCATCGCGTCTGTAGTGAGACTCATCATCATGATGGATGTCCACAGCCTTTCGCAAGTCATGAGAAACCTGGCCGTTACGACTTTCTTGACTGTCCTCGAGACCCACTTGACGATCTTGTGCAACAGTCTTCCAATGCTTCTGCCATTGTGGGCGTTTTGGAAACACCGACGATTCGAGACGGACGAGTATGTATCGAGACTGGGCGGTTCGACCCAATCGGGCAAGCATGACCATCTGGTGGAAGATCTTACGAACGGCATACCACTCGAAACCATGTACGGCAGCAACATCACCCACTTCACGACAACGGTTGGAACTGGGGGCATGAGAAGGGGTTCAGGAAATGACGGCGACTCTGATGTCTCGGAAACGGAGTCTACCCAAAGGCTTCCGAGGAATGCGCAAGCTATCACGATTGAGACAAAATGGTCTATCAAGGAGGAGACGACGAAGTAGACTTAATGACCCCTGCAGTAATCGTAACGAAAATATTCTCCTACGTCGGTCGTTGACCAATGGTTGATGTCTAATTGCATTTGCTTATTGCATGACAACTAAAAGCAAGATGTTTCCCTGTCTCGCTCTGTGGCTTGGTATGGAAAGCCGCAACTCATGGTGATTACAATCTAGCAGATGCATTGCGTTTGAATCAGATGAGCTCAAGATATGAACAACCTACTGCGGTTGCAGGCCAAAGTAAAATACCCCGGCCAGGTATCTGTGGCTCAAGCCGACTAGGTGCGGTATATCGATGCAGGGGAAAGTCCGGCTGTCCAGCAGTTATTCGAGAGCTTCCTGTGGGCCGTCAGTCCCCACGATACCAGCCCGGGAGGTTTGACTTACGCCTGATACCATAGTAAGGACAAGCGAGCAATTAATCTGATTCCTGTCCCAGAACTGTCGGTTCCTTCCGTCCTGCGAGGTGGGGTGCTAGCTCGTATCGCCGCACGGCTCGTAAAACAACCCCAAAAGGGAAGTCCGAAGGTCTATGTGCCATCGGCTACCACATGACGCCAGAAACCCCCGGGGCGGAGTAGAGCCAATCAACGTATACGAAAATACATCAAGAAGCATTAGCTTGACGATAATTCTGACGAAGCAAGAAACATTTGAGCAGTTTAGCCGCTCTTGGTTTAGTGTACCCGAAGTGACAAGCACTCCACGTGGCAGCTGCATTGTCTGTGCATGGGATCCAATCCTTGCGGCACAGGCTTATCGAGGGCCTTACGGTACAGGCCTCATCCGATAGATGGTTCATCAATCAGGAGGTCAGACAGCCCCCAACTTTTGCCCCGAGAATTTTCTCAAAACTGGTATTGCTGTCGTTGTCTTGGAAAGCCGTACACAGGGAAGAAGGCGCCCATCTTGGACCTGGATTCACGCAGCCAGCTATGGATACCATTTCGACACTCGACACTGCGGCGTGCATTCTTCACGCAACTTCGTTTATTGAGGCAACTTTCGCGGTTGCACAGAGCTCTGAAGTTCAGGTGCCGTACCACAATGGCGAGGTCATTCTGGGATCCCTCAAAACATTGAGGATGGCACTGTCAGACACGCAAGAGCGTCTCGAGACCAGGTTCACGATGTTAGACAATGCACTTCCGCTGCGAGATCTTGTCTCTTCTCGGGAAGCAGCCATTGTACTCCTTAAAAGTATCGAGGATATATTCACACGATCGACCGACAAGCCGACAGGAAGAACTAGACATATCGCTGCAGAAGCCCTGTTCAGGTTGAAGCTCGAGGAGTCCGCTCGCCTCAAGACTACCGTAACGCGTCAAATCGCTCATGTTCTTAGGTACGCAACGGAACACGCGCTCCAGCATACCAGTTTCTCATTCTAATGTGGCAGCCTAGCTCCCGAATCTCTCAGCTCAGCCAATCCTTGACTATGCTCGACAGCCAGAACCGATACGCTAGACCAGAACACGAATCTCAAGTCGATGTTATGTCACGAGACTTACAACACTTGAGAATACAAGCGCAAAAGCATTTGTCGAATCAAAGCCCAACCTACACGAAGAACGACATTGAACAACTCAGAGTCCTGCTTGTCCGACTAGCCGAATCTGAGGATGCATTGCTCGCTGAAACAATCGTTTCGAGTCTCAATTACACGAGCAGACCTATCCGTCTCGATTCCATTCCTCAAGCGCACCAAGATACTTTCCAATGGGCCTTCGATTCTCGACTGGCAAATTGGTTCCTTTCTGGGAGTGGCACTTTCTGGATCTCCGGGAAGCCAGGTTCTGGCAAGTCCACATTCATGAAGTTCATTTCCAAACATGCTCGCACCAAAGAGCTGTTGGAGACCTGGGCGGGCCCAACCGGCACACTGGCTATTGCGACGCATTGCTTTTGGATCGCAGGGACACCGATTCAGAAATCCTGGCAGGGGCTTCTTCAATCTTTACTCCACGACCTACTTCGAGGACACCCCCGCGCTGTCTCCATAGCCTGCCCGAGTCGCTGGGCAGCTGCTAAATTTGGAAAATGGCAGGCGGCCGCAGAACCGTGGTCGGTGGAAGAGCTTGCTGTCGCGTTGCGAGCGCTATCAACGGCGGAGCGGATGCCATTGAGGATGTGTCTATTCATCGACGGGCTGGACGAATATGACAGCAACCACGCGGAACTCTGTAAAGTCCTCCTTGACATGGCGAAGTCTCCCCATGTCAAGATATGCCTATCTAGCCGTCGGTGGCCAGTCTTCGAGAGGAGCTTCGGCCAAAATGGACAGGAGAGCCTTGATATCCACGAGCTCACGCGGGACGATATTCGGAAATTTGTCAACGACCAGCTGCGGACTGACCCCCGATGGACTGCCGAGACTTCCGAGGGCGTTACCCTAGCGAAAGCAGACCTCGTGAACCGAATCGTCACCCAGGCTGACGGTGTATTTCTCTGGGCGTTCTTCGTGACTAGATCCTTACGAGAGGGCCTCTTCAACGGCGAGATGATTGAAGATCTCGCCCGACGCCTCAGCCAACTACCATCCGACTTGGATCAATTGTTTCAACACATGCTGGATAGCGTGGATCCTGCCGATCATCGCACGATGGCGGGCATCTTACAGGGCGCGGTGCACGCACTAGAACCGCTTCACATTGATCTCTACCACCAGCTGGAAAGGGAATTGCAGGGCCGTCATTCTGTGTTGCAGAGCTCGGAACAGCTTGGGTCCGTCCAGAGCGTTGCCCTCCGGAGAGAGCACACGGTCCGCAACATCAATCAGAAGACAAAGGGCCTACTTAAGCTTGTTTATGATCGATTTGAGTTCCTCCATCGGACCGTCAAGGACTTCGTCTCGACAAAAGATGTTGGCGACTATCTTCGCAGCAAGCTGCCGTCTGACTACAATGGCTTCAAATCCATCGCGGCAGCGTACCTCGGGTATCTCAGAGGCACAAGACAGAAAAGCTCACTCGTCGTAGACGTTATCAGGCAGGGACGGGGGATGAACAGCGGTCCGCTCATTTCGCATCTGAACCAAGCCCTGTTTTACGCGTCGGAAGCGCTCAAACAAGCCGATCAGCCGGGCTCTACCCAGCGCCAACAGGTTGAGACGCTCCTAGATGAGTACGAAGCCGCCATTGTGGAAATGGTCAGCCTCGGCCATTTAACTGTAAGGGGCGTCAACTCTGATCGTCTCGATGCAAGGCTGTTATTTCGCGAGGAGCTCCTTCGCCATGAACTATCGCCTTATCTGGCAAAGAAGATCGCCGAGCAGCCAAATTTCTTCGACGTATTTGATGAGTCGCCGCTGTTTGCAGCGCTTATGCCCATGTCTCGCGACGGTGGTGAGAGTCCTGGGCCCTCATCAGAAGTCCTCGACATTCTTCTCGGACGCGGTGAGGATCCCAACTTGCTACCTCGCCAGTTGGATGTTCCCAGCGCTCTGGATGCACCATCACCTTGGGTGCTGTTTGCGCGTAGTACAATGTCGGTCTTCAACATGCTATCGGGACCATGCATGTTTCCTGCCCTGCGATGGAACGACTCCTTAAGGAATGCCACCTTCAGTCGGTTGTTGTCCCACGGCGCTAATCCCAATCAACCTCTACTGGACCGTCCTGCGGCCAGCAACTTCCCTCCTTCACACTTTTTACTATAACCCGCTGTTAGCAGGCTGTAGCGTACTATACTAGAACCTTAATGTACCTAGAACTATAATATTAATACCCTTAATCGCTTATTGTAATAGCTTTATAGCTACGTATAGGCGCTATAAGCACCTAACCTAGGCCTGAATCGCTAGTTTAGAACCTTTCCCCCCCCTCTACTTCTATTAAGTTATTATACTTATACCCTCAGGTACTTACTATAGTAGAATTAATACCTCCTATTAGCTCTAAAGGGATAGAGCGTATAATAATTACTATTAGAATATAGAAGTTATTCTAACTATTTAATACCTATTAATAAGTTTACTAGATAATTATAATATATTTTAACTAATTAGTTAAAACCTATAGGGGACCTCTATAGAAAGTACTTAGTAGTATTATATAGAAATTTATTATTTATATCTAATAAATAGTTACTTTTAGGCTCTCTTAAAGTAATATAGCTATAAGAACCTCTTCTTAAGGCTAAAATAATACTATATCTCCCTCTAAGATAACCCCTATTAGATAAAATATAGTAACTAGCTTAGCTTAGTTATATAGTATTTAGAAGTTTTATACTTTATTAAAGTTTATTATAGATTACTATCTACTCTTATAAGCTTTTAAAATTTTAATATAAATCTATAAGGCTTTATTATATACCCTCTAGAGTAGAATTACTAAAACTTTAAACCTCCCCCTAGTAGATATTACTTATATCTTATATACTACTTTAAGCTATACTATTATTCTATACTTAGCTTTTATAAAGAAAGCCTTTTTTAAGTAAGTAGAGGAGATTTATAAAACTATAAGTATATAATTACTTAACCTCCCTTAGAAATAGTATAAATACCTTATTAATTAGGTACTTATAGAAATCTCTAGCTACTTAGATAACTTTACTATTATAGTTACTAAAGAAATAGTTAAGATTAATATCTATAAATATATAGGGCTATATTTAGTTTAAGCCTACTCTATATAGAAGGGTATAGACCTTATTACTTAAACTTAATTTTAGATTATTATTCTACTTTAATTTTATAAAAGCACTAAATAGTGCTTTTTTTATAAGTTTATTTATACTTACTTTCTACTAGAGAAGAAATAAGTACTTATACTTTACTCTAATAGGTACTAAAGGTATTATATTAGCTACTTTTATATTAGAACTTATTACTATAGCTAGTATAACTAAACTAACTATACTAGTATTAATACTACTTTAACCTACTTTAATAACCTTAAGTATTTAAACTACTATAAAGCTTTCCTTATAAACTATAGTAACTATACTACTTACTCTATCCTAAAAAATAGTATTTAAGTTATACCTTTAAAGTACTAACTATAGAAAATTTAGTAAGCTACTTATAATATATTATCTACACTTAGGCCTAATAGCTCCTTTTATAACCTACTTTTAGGTGCTCTTACTTCCCTAGCTTAGCCTAAAATAGCCTAATTAATAATTATTACTAGTAGTATAATACTACTAAATTATAAAATAGCTAATACTATTTAAACTACTATAGAGGATAACCCTTTTATCTTAAACTCCTCTTTAGAAGACTTTAAACTTAAAGATATTAAAACTAAGATACTAAATATACCTCTTACCTCCTATTCCTATTAGAAATAAGCTTATACTATTAAGTTTAATAGTACTACTTATATTATAACTTATTAAAAGGATATAAAGTAAGAAGTTTTTAGGGAAAGTTTAAAAAATAATAATCTACTATAGTTTAACCTCCTTAAGTTTAAAAAGCCTATAATACTATAAGTTTCTACCTCTTACCCCCCCTATAGCTCTACTTAAAGTATTACCTTATACTTTAAGAAATTAAGTTATTATAATAATATATAGAAAATCCCCCCCTTTAAAGATAATACCTCACCTTAAATAAGCCTAAGAATATTATACTAGAGGCTTATATATTATATAGTATAATATTAGGTATAAAAACCTTATAAACTATATATTACTATAAAACTATACTAAGAAGTATATTAATATAGTCCTAATATAAAAACCTTATACTAATAAAAAGAAGGGAAAGCTATTCTTTATAAACTACCCCTTCTATAAAGTATTCTACCTTATTAATACCTAAGAATACTATAACTTAAATACTATTCCTTAAGTAATTATATATATTAGGAAAAGCTTAAGAACTATTTAAACTTAGCTTTATAAGACTTATAACCTTATTTAGATATAGATTTAAAGTATAATTATTCTAAATATTTATAGGCTTAGTATAGTAAATAATAACACTACTACTTATATTTTTTAATACCTTATCCCTCTTTATTTTTTTACTAGTAGTAATTAGAATACTATAAACCCCTCTTAAGCCTTTAGTATAAGAATCACTAATAGTAGATTAAAAATTAAGACTTAAGTAAATTAGAATAATCTCTCCCTTCTAAATAAGCTTAAAGTATTAATATATAATACTAGTTATATTATAGATCTATTTTAGTTTAATATTCTACTCACTTTAGTAGAGATAAATCTCTCTTTTTATTTTAAGGTAGATTATAAAGCTATTCTAATCTATATCTCTATTCTTCTAGCTTTAGAACTAAGCCCTCTAATTTAAGTATAAGTATTAAATAATAAACTTAAGTGATTTATTACTTTCTATAAATAGAACCTACCTTCTATTATTATTTTAAATATAATACTAGTATAATATAACACTACTACTAAATCTATTTTCTACTACTTTTTATAAATAATAAATATTATAACCTATTTACCTTAATACGCTTTAAATTTAGCTATCTTAGCTTAATAGATACTTAAATACTAGGATACTAAATAAAAATTATATAAAGCTTAATATACCTAATCTCTAAGTTATAAATAACGCTTATACCTCTTCTACCCCCTCTATAAAGAGGAGAAGCTTACTAATATAGAACTTTAATAAGCTATTTATACCTATAAGATAGCTTAGTACTATAGTAAAGTTAATTATATAATAAATATTTTTAATCTTTACTATATAATAAAATAGTACTAAATAAGGCTTAATTTCTATCTACTACCCTTTAAAATTAAAAATAGGGTAATTAAATCCCCTATTATAAAAGTATAAACTTTTAGAAAGGCTCTACTTAAGTAGTTCTTAGCTATAGATAATATTTAAGACTTAGATAATATCTAAATCCCCCCTTACCTTAATATCCTATAAGATACTTTTATCTCCCTTATATAGGTAACTACTATAATACTTATTATAAGTATTACACTTAAAGTTAATAGTATTACTATTTATATACTTTAGGCTACCTAGCTAGCTATAGTTAAGCTTATTTAAGCCCTCTTTTAAGTTTACTTAACCTCTAAGTATTATTTAGAGATTTTTAAAAAAGCTAAGGTAGTCTTTATACTTAAAGGGGGGAAACCCCTAACTAAAGTTATTTTATATTGTTCTATATCTTTACTCTCCTACTTTAGAAAAAGCCTTAAGTACTTATTTACTTAGTATACTACTTATATAGTACTACTAGCTTAAACTATTAGTACTTAATACTTTAAAGCCCTCTCTAAGCGTAGTATAATTAATTTTACTACCTATATAACTTATAAAATTAAAGCTACCCTTAAAGTTAGTTTAATTACTTCCTTTATTATACTTAATACTAAGAGTACTTTTAATACTATTCTCTATAACTACTTCTTTATTAAGTTATATAAATAAGGATAGCTAGAACCTTTTATCTATTACGTTAAGTTATTTATAACTAGATATTAAGCTTAAATTTATATTAAGGGTACTATCTTAAAACCCTTCCCCTTTTACTATAAGCTTCTTTAAAGTTTCCCTACTTCTCTTATCTTATACTTACTTTACTTTATAGAGCTTCTACTATAGAACTCTAATTTCTACTTTAAGTATACTAATAATATCTTAATATAAACTAAATCCCCTTTTATAGAAGAGAATACTAAGCTACTTATAGCTAATATAACCTATATTTTATATTAAGGTACTAAAAATAAAGTTTTCTTTAAACTAAAAAAGAGTAAAGCTATTTATATATTATAAAAATATAAGCTAATAAACCCCCTAATTAAGGCTAATAGCTTAATAATAACGCCTAAAGATATTATAAAGTAATTTAAAGTTATTTTTAACTATAGGCTTACCTTTATACTATATATCTAAATTAGAGTAGATACTACCCTAAAGTATACTAAATTCTTCTATAGCTTAGAAGTAGTTTATAGAGGTTTTCCTCCTACCTTTATATATAAAACTATTTTTTTAATTATTATTCCTATTACTACCTATAGTATAAAAGCTTAATTTCTTAAACTTTAGAAACCTAATTATATCCTTATTTAGTAGTACCTTAGTATTACTCTAATAAAACCTTTCTACTTAATAAACTAAAAAAGGTATCTCTAGCTTATTAATAGAGTAATTTTTATTAATATTTAAGAAGTCCTACCTATATAGTATATTACTCCTACTACTATATTATACTATAAATCTAAAATCCCTCTTATAGATATTATACTTAAAGTTTATTAACTTTATTTCGCTATAAAGCTTAGCTATCTTAACCTTTATTACTTATTAGTTTAATACTTATATATTCACCCCTCTAACTCTTACTATAAACTTATATAGCTATAATATATTACTATAATACTTCCCTACTACTTTTACTTTATTTTAATACTCCTATAACCTCTAAGCCCCTCTTATCCCCTAAAGAAAATAGCTACTACTAAATTTAAAGCTTAGTTTAAAGATATTCCTAAAAATAATATTATTATATATATTAATAGATCTAAACTTAAGTTTAGAGATATTAGTTATAGCTATATTATATTCTTAAGTGAAAAAGAAGAAAAGAAGAAGACTAAAATACCTTTTATATAAAGTTCTTAATACTTAAGCTTTATTAAAGTTTTTAATACTAAAGCTAAAGTTATAAACCTTAAGCTTTATATAATAATATAGCTATAAAGCTTAATAAGTATAATTTATATTTATATTAATAACTTTAGTATTATTAATACTCTAAAAAGATATAATAATACGCCTTTATCCTTATAAGTAATTATTTTTTAAACTAAAGAGTATATTATTTTAATAACCTCTTCTATCTTTATTTACTAAATTTCTAATTATAAAGATATTCTTAGAAATAAATTAGTAAATATATTTATAAAATAAGAGACTTTAATAGCTCTCCTTAACCCTATCTTATTAACTATAGTAACTACTATAAAGTATCTAATATAGAAGAAAATTATAAAGTACTATTAAGAATAGTAGTATATAAATAAAAAACCTTAATATTATACTTATAATAACTTTTAGTTAGTATTTTAATACTTTTTAAAACTAAAGCTCTTATAAAAACTCTTATACTATCTAATTACTACTTATTTAGGGTATAATAATTTTAAGATATACTATAAGTACTTTACTTAGAGGTAATAAGGTATTTAGAAATATAAATATAGAAAATAGAAATCCCTTATATATATAATATTCTATTATTTAACTTACCTAAAGAAATTTTAGTAACTTTAGCTACTAATTAATAGTAAGTTAGGTTTATCCTTATTTAGGAACCCTAAGTACTACTAAAGATCTATAATTAGTAATCTAAAGTAATTTAAGAAGTTTAAAGAAATTATAAGTTTCTTTAGTAGTTAGAACTACTAAATAGTCTATTTATATAGACCCTTTAACTAATAACTTTTTTAAACTCTATTATACCTTATTTTATTTTAATTTTTTAGCCTAAATAATTTAAATTACTATAGGAAAATATAAAAATTAACTTATTAACTTTTCTAAGAAAATCTTAGTTTTTCTAATAAAATATAGTAAGTTATAAGTAATTTTACTTCTTTAAAGGCTTATAAGTAGCTTAAACCTTAACCTTAGCTACTAACTAAAAGCCTCTTATTTAGATTTTATAATAATACTAACTTTAGTATAATAAAGCTTAAACCTCTATAGTATTAGCTTTAACTAAGTAATATAAGCTAGAAATAGGGGACACCTATATTATTTTCTAGTAGTAAAAGGTAGCTTTTAGGCCTAGAAATACTATATATAGGAGGCGATTAACTAGAGGATACTTAACTTAAGGAGTAGGAATAGTATATAGTAGATTTATAGATATATAGGCTTACCCTATATAACGTATACCCTAGGGAGCGATCTAAGCCTAGCTCTAACGTCGAAAAATAGAATAACAATAACAACAACAACAACAACCGTCCTGCGGCACGTACTGTCTTCTCGTATTTCCTGGATATAGCTCTATCCAAATTTCTTGGCGAAGAGTGTTTCGAAGACTACCTCAGGACCCTGGATACCTTCTTGCGAGCAGGTGCCAGTCTTGGTGTACCAGAGATCAACAGATTGGAGAGTCCGCATGTTGAGCCGGCGTTTGGAAACCTTTCGAGAAGACGTCCAGAGGAAACGGTGCTGGCGTCTTTCTGTAACGAGTTGAAGGGACTCACAGCGAAGTTGGCGGCCGATTCACGGAGAGCCACTTTTGTCGCCTCGGTATTGGAGAAAATCATTCTGCACTGTTGCGGTATAGAGGAAGATCTGAGAGAGTTGCGCTTAGCAATAGGCCAAAGCTTCCCCTCGCATGCGACCGCGTCTCTGTTGCAATTGATCGATTCTGAGGCTAGCATCCCTCGAGAACGCGCATCAAAGCGGAAGAGGCTCCAAAAGGAACGCGAGGAAGCTACTGACGAGATTCATGACGTCAGAAGAAAATCCTTGAGATGGGGAGTGATTGGCCCAGGAGGAAGAGGATCCGCATGATAATTAAGGTGGCATTGTGTCGAGGGTTTCACTAACAATGCTGTTCAAAAAGACTTACACATCTGACCCTTGTTTGAGTTTAGATATTAAACCCTATGATGTTCTACTTCTGGGGTTCCGCCCGGGTGTGGGTCACATGGCTTCTAGTTCCAGTGCTGTACTGCTATCTCCTGATCGGAATTTTGATCGTATGTCAAGGGTATGGTGGTTACTGAAAGTATGACAGATATCAATTTCTCTCTTTCTCTGACACTGACGACATGAGATATCTCAGGAAAACTGTGATACTCCGATGCACGTTGCGAGCGTATTCAAATTTATTCTGAGGAGCAAAAGCCAATGAGGATCATAAACAAATCGAATTCGCTGCAGCCCAAACGAGACTACGACTAATCCAGTCGAACTATCCTAAAGGCTTGATTATCGTGATGGCACGTAGCTCTCCATCAACCTTGAAATCTTCCATGATATCCACGGGCCAACCTGAGTACATAGTCTCCTTTTCCTCCTCTGCCAGGGGCCTGAGAAGTCGGGTCATTTCGTTCTCTCCATCTTTGCAAAATCGTGACAGCCATCGCAACTCCCCCATGTAAGGATGTAATTGAGCCCACAGGGTGAGTGACAACAGATCGAATGCCACCCAAATCGTCTGTCCCTTATGCTCGCGTATTATGCTGTCATCGTAGATCCGTCTGCCGCTTGTCTCAATCAGGGATGCGTTCGTGTAAGGCGCTGTTTTAAACCACTTAAAGATTTCGTCCAGACTCTCCTTGTCTCTGGCCAACTCCTCCTCAATGACCTCGTTGATAGCATGTAAAGCATAAAACCCGTGGGAATCCTTATTTTCCACACTATAATTGATCACCATATCATTCGTTTGATGCATCGCCAAGTCACGCCAGCCAAATCTCAAAAAGGGCGGATTGAATTGACCTTGGCATTTATCTGCCCACCGGTATTCGCTGGTCCGACCCCTAAGGTTTGAAATGGCGGGTTAGCCGGAATCTCTAAGGGTGAATTTAATTGAGATTGCGGAACATGACAGAGTGGGGCACGGTATCTAGCTAAGGCCTAAGTATGGGTTAGATAGAACGTACAAGACTCACCTTTCGATATCTTCTTTTATTGAATCAAGGATAGCTTCGAGCACGTCATACTGATCCGGCTCGAATTCCAATTGAACTAGGTCTATGACCTGCCCTTCGTCAAGGCCAGAGCCATCGTCTATGTTCCTTCGTCGATTGTCCCACTGCATCAGTTTCGGATTAAAACCTCGCATCGCCTGACGGTAGACATTGAAAAATCCCACCGGCGAACTGCTTTTTTCCGCATCGAGAATACTCTGGAAGACTGCTAAAAATGTGAAACTATCGTCCACTCCAGGAAATGCCAATCTGGGGCTCGGATACCTTAGGTAATCATCGGCGCAGCGCGTAACAAAGAATTCGTTACGCTTCGGGTCACCATCAAGTCTTGCCCATCGCTGACGCATATGTTCTATGCGGTGACGGAAGGACAAATGTAAGTCTCCAATGTCAAGTGATGGCATTCCGTGTATGTTGAAATTGCCTTCACGATTTTCTTCTTTGAACCAAAACGGCAAGCCCGGCGTTCTCTCGTAGATGTCTATTCCAGCTGGGCCATCGGCTCGTACCAATGGTAGGCAAGAAGCCGTTGTGTCGTCGTACGCCAAAACTATATTTGAGCTGAATCTGAAAGGCTCAAAATAGAACCAAGTCTTTTCGCCACCATCATGGAAGGGGTTGGGGAAGTGTTCGATTTTGCGTGGAGCATGAAAACATGCAATGACAGACGCAGAAACAAGCCGAAACTTGGCTTCATGATTGGTCTGTTGCAGTAAGCAAAGTCTTGGTTTGGACTTCACTGAATCTCTAACGAGACCACCGGACTCGGAAATGTTGTCGGCGTTGACGCAAAGCATAAACAGGTGGATTTTGTTCGGTTCGTCTGCGGGACCGAGAAAGCATTTGTTGGTATATATGTGAAGAATGGATGTTCCGACCTTCAAATTGGGAAAAAAGACTTGCCCACTTCTGTCAGCCGTTGATCTTGAAAAATCCATATTGTCAAAAGACATTATGTGGATTGCGTGCAAATTGATTGCTCCAGTCGAATTGTCTATTACTGCGTGAGTGTGACAAAAGGCTGCGGGACTTGCGTGGGCCGAGACACCTTTCCATGTTCTTGCTGACTTTAGATAATCGATTCCGTATAAATCTAAGTCATATGAGATCCATTCGCAGGCAACCTTTAAACAAGTATGCTGATTCAGACCTGAGGAGTACGCAACTGGTGTGACACCACCTTCGAGACCTTCACACTGATGATGTCTTGAATAGATCTCCAAGAAATTCCTTGACTTGTAAAGCCAGTCAGGCTGGAGATTGCTTGTGCCAGAGATTATGTGGTCGTTTGTAGCCTCGTCATACCGAGCTAGAGGGACCCAAGAAGGCATACCTTCTGGTGCCTGAAGCCCTGATGCGTGAAGTAAGACCCGAGTATCCCTCTTGGTAATCAGGCAATATGCATAGTAGCCAATGACGAGGTGCCTGAAGAAATGGAATAGTTCGCGGCAATATGATGCTCGCTTGAATCGATCAAACCCAAGATACCAAAGATTTTGTCGCGAGGGTCTGAGGCTTTTGAGGCCTCCACGAGTTCGACGGCTGTCCGGAGGTTGTTTCCCGATTGATGGCCGACTGACTTTTGGGTTATGAAGGTGAACCATGGGATATCGTGGGCCTGAACTGTTTGAACGCTAAGCGTCTGATCGACGATGAACTCAGTGTCGCCAACACGAAGGGTAATATCCCTGGACATGATTAATTCCTGGATGATCCAAAGACGACGAAAATATCCTCTCCTGAGGACATCAGACAATGTCCACTGCTTAGAGGAGCTCGGTGATACCGATGGAAGTGGTAGTCTCCCTATAAGAGTGTCGAGCTCTTGCAGATTATGCCTCCTGGGATACGGTGACGATGTTGATGTCGGGGCAGCAAGGTCAGGGCCAAGGTAAATAACAACTCGACTGGCTTTCTCGTAGATTCGACCCATCTTGGCAACTTGCTCTTGTCTTTCTTTCATATCAGTCTGATTAATGCAGATTGCGTCTACCCAGATAGTTCGCACGCCTTTCCACGGTCGCATGTGCCTCAGCATCTCCCAACAGTTATGGGTCTGGATCAGGATATCCCAAAATGGTCCGACGTAGACCGGTTGGGTGAGGCGACTATCTCCGTTCTCGCCACCCCATGTATAGGATACCGTTTCGTACTCGTGATAAAGGAGGTCATCGTAGACCTCCAGGGTGACATGAATGGGGGCGTTGACGTCTTCAACCGGATAGAGACACATAACGCGAAATTCGCTATCCTTTAGGCGTTGAGGGTATATGTGGAGACGTTCTGACTTTCCTGGTGGTTTGCCTTCGTCGGGAGTTGAAGTTGGCACCTCGTCATCAGGTGGTCGAACTGGTACGGGATGTCCATCCGGTTCTGTGATGACATACGGCACGCATGGCGGCCACCACAGATACATCTGACCTGGCGGCTCATCTGGGGGAAGGAAAGGTAACGGTGATGCCTTGAATGCCTCCGCCGCAACTAGTGCATCTATGTCTGGGTGACTGTCGCAGGATTCGCAGTATGGTCGTTGCTGCTGGACGACAACGCGTGGGTTGGAGCAAGAGGGCGCGTGCCATCGACTCATCCTGGCACAAGACGGCGGCAGCAGCCTGAGCGAAATGACCGTATGTGGTGGGTCCGATACTTGAGCAGAGACGATGTGATGATTTAGTGATTTTCAAATTTTGTCTTGAGCACAGGTCAAAGTGCCCATATAGTGTTTCCAGAATTGTGCCCGCGTATGGGGTGAATTTTGCCGTAGNGGGGGGGGGGGGGGGGGGGGGGGGGCTGCCTCGTAACTACAAACTCAAATTTTGTCTTGAACGTGAAGAAGTAGACACTCAAGTTTCTGAAAGAGAGGTTTGGTACGCGATGAGATTTGAGGAATTTTACGTGGCTATGGTCAAATCTCTCATCGACAAAAGGACGTAAGGTTCCAATATTGTCATGCACCTCGCCGGCAAAGTACAGTGTGGTGGACAAGGCATCCAATGATCGGAAGAAGACGACGGGGACGATACGGATGACGGGTACCTCACCCGCCGGAGTCGGGCTCCTTCGTTGCTAGACAAGTCAATAGGGCAAATCTTTGTCTGTCGGACTCCACCTTCACTAGAAGTTCTTGTCAACATGTTTACCTGAGCCTGATGTCTGAGGAAAAATGATCCCTCCAAAAAGCTCTTGGCAAAATTTAGCCGAGGATTGTTCATCAGAGGGATAGTTCTAAAAGCCGAAAAGGCGGTGGAAGCACTCCTGTTGTGAACTCGAGCTTGCTGGAACCGGTAGGAAATTGCGTGTCGTTATTTTGTCTAACCCTATTTTACAGATTTCACCAAGAAAACATTTATCCCTTACAACTTTCTCTTCGAAAGAGGCGTAGGACCATCGGGAAGGCCGCACTTGAAAACACACCCCTATCAGTAATCGTTCCATCGCAACACCAAGTTGTAGACACAGGGCGTAACTTACGTAGAAAACAACCAAGCTACCTCCATCAAAGATCGTCTCAACCGAAACAGTCTCGTTCGAAGCGGGAGTGAGAGTAATGTCGCTCCGTGTGTTCCAGTAAATCCCAGAAATGAGCGCTGGCTGCCCTATGCCGGGAATGACCGTCGCGTTGGCCCATACGCCGGGGTCTCCTCCGGTCGCCTCGGCAAAGACCTCCACGGCGACCTGCTGCGGCGGGTACGGCGAGCCGTATCCGGCCGCGCCAGCGACTTTGATCACCAGGTTGCCCTGGAACGGGGAGTCGATGTTGAAGTCGACGATCTTGTCTGTTGTCGAGTAGACGCTCTTGGCGCCATCGAGGACGGGCTCAAGCGGCGTCGAGGAGTTGCAGCCTGCAGGGGTTGAATTAGACGCGTTCTGGAAGATCCCGCGCTTGCATACGGGGGAGGGGAAGTGTTGGGTCTAACATACGCGAGAAATCGGCGCGAACGGCCCAGGAGCCCTGGGAGACGGCAGCGAAGGCGCCGCTGGCGGCGAAGGCTGAAGCGAGGAAGATGGAAGAGAGCATTTTGGGCTAGTTTGTATCGTTGGTTCTCACGGTTAACATCAACGGGCTCCGTTCGGGGGTCGTGAAGATTCTTATTTGTAGATCCCGGGGCTTTCGTCGCTGCAATGAAGGGATGAACACCCGCCACTCTCCACTACGAGACCAGCATCATAGGGGTTCGGATGGGAGCGAAATAAGGTTTTGCGGTGCTACCGGAGCGTCATGCAGTTGTTAAATGACCCTCTTAATTTCTCGTATGCAATTTATATAGGGTTAGCCAAGGCCATCGCTGTTCATGCGAGTCAGACATAAAGACTTGACCCCCCTCTGACAGGTAATTGTGACCTTCAGTCGCCGCCTATTTTCGGACGGACCTGCTGAGAAATGATCGTTCAATGAGACTTTCATATGGAAATAAGTTGCGCTGACAAAGTTTAGAGACTGCTTCCCGGGCTTAGCGCCAGATTGTGTCAAGCCCTATGGCGATCCGTTCCCTCTCATGGGATGAAATATCCCCGACGAGCCGTGGTGAAGTGCGAACCGGTCGCGTTTCTGTGATTGACGAGTCATTAAATAGACGAAAGATGCCACCACCCTTCTGGTATATTCATATCAGCAAAAGAGTCTCGCAATTTGATGATCGAGAGATGCAAGTCTAAGGCATTTCGGGGCTTGGCATTTCCCAACTCCGTTACGCTACTGTGGCTATGAATAAGTATGGTTCGAGTCGCACTCAAAACCGGCATGCGTCTAATGCCATGAACTTATTTTGTCATGAGTATTTGAACTTGCAGGCAATTGAGTCCGGGGGCAGGCCGATACCATTGCCTTATTGGCTGCATTCATGTCAGAGGAGGAAAGACAGCAGGCGCAAGGAAAGGGCGTAGTTGATCGGAAACTGATTTCGACATTCAGATACCCTTTATTTGACAACCTTATTACAAGAGCTCAATACATCCTCGATTGAGCTGCGAAAATTGGAAGCATGATTCCTGCAACACAGCTGTTTCCTGCTAAGTCTCATAGCCATACCGACGTTCAAGGCTTGGGTTGCAAATAACACTGATCGAAAATAGTAGCCCCTTGCATAAGTAAGTTATGCAGAATCCGAACGTACCCTCAATACTCCTCAAACGTATTTTGGACCGACTGTCACGAGACAAGACTAAGCAGGTGTAATAGTATTGCAGAGCAAATTACATGCTGCTGGAATGGATGATTGTCACCCCCAGTTCAGATCATCATCGCCGTGAAGATGGCCCAGAACCGCCAATAAGAACCAACCAACACCCTCAACTCAGCCTATCCCACGTGATATCAATCCCGTCGGTACTTTCAATCCGACAGCCCCTCTATCCACCAAGTCGGGCTACCACATCGCGCATCCCAGATAAAAAGACCAACAACATCCCGCCGGCTTATCTCAGTGGAGCACCCTTCCCCCCGAACCAGGTCCCCGGCCGCGCGCCAAGCCACCCGCTCCGCATCTGCGCCCATGCAATCCTTATCGGGGCGATGGGATGGATGTCATCGGGCTGCCGTCCGCCCGTCACTCGCGTGGCAACGCGACGCTGACGCCGTCGGTTGCAAAAGCGCCGATGGCAGGGTCCCAATGCCACCGCGCGCAGGGAGCGAATCATCGCAGCGCCGAAGGCTGTGATATCGGTGACGATGGCGGACAGCTTGAAGTATGGAGCTGCAGCCTCCCTCGCGGTGACGATGGTCGATGCGCTGCGCTCTTCCTCGATCATCTCAGCACGAAATTGTCCGCAAGATGGCCCGAGTCCGTATACCAACCAGGGCCGAGATAGCGGCGCCGTTCCAGTCCAGAGCCGCATTCAGAGAATGGGCAAAGGCCCCCGAGGCGCCGGAGGGGCAGGCGCGGATCGGCGACTCGCGATGGTCGAACAAAGATCTCGAGCCGACGCCGCCGCACCAGCGGACGTGGACGTGGTATAACCTGCCACTGTACTGGTTCTCGAACATGTTTGGGACGACGGGGTGGAATGTGGCGTCTTCATTGGTGGCAGTGGGCTTGGTATGTCATCTTGAGTTCGAATTTGATGTGTCGGAGACGAGAGGAAACTAACGGACATCAGACATGGCAACAGGCCTTCATCTCCTGCGTCCTCGGGTCTCTCATCTCTGCGATCATCGTCACGGGCATGGCGCGGCCAGGCGCGATGTACCATCTAGGATAGTACGTTTCCCCCGTTAGAAAAACCATACAGATGCTAACACCTTCTTAGCCCGGTCCTCGCACGATCGGTGATGGGAATGTACGGCTCCTACTTCTTCGTCTTCATCCGCGCCATCGTCTGCATCATATGGTACGGCATCCAGACATACTACGGCGCAAACCTTCTCTCTGTCTGCTTCCGGTGCATCTTCGGCAGCGGATGGGACAACTTCGCCAACGCCCTCCCCGCCGGCGCCGATGTCACGTCCAAACAGCTCCTGGCCTTTTTCATCGTCTGGCTAGTCGAGTTCCCCTTCGTACGCTCCCCCCTATCACCCCCAAACACAACTAACACCCCTCCAGACCTGGGTTCACCCCGCGAACATCCACTACATCTTCACCGTCAAAGGCTTCGTCATGCCCTTCGCCTGCTTCGGCCTCTTCGGGTGGTGCATGGCCCACGGCACCGGCATCTCCAACATCAACGCCGCCGCCCCCTCCACCACCGTGCCCCTTGGCTGGGCCGTCATGAACGGCATCAACGTCATCATGGGCTCCCTCTCGCCCATGCTCGTCAACCAGCCCGACCTCGCGCGCTACACCCGCCGCCCCTCCGACGCCGGCTGGCTGCAGGGCGCCTGCGTGCTCTTCGCGCAGAGCCTCGTCTTCTTCCTCGGGCTCGCCTCCACGACGTCCCTACAGGGCGCCTGGGGGCAGGCCTACTGGAACCTGTGGGATTTGCTGGACGCGATATTGGACCACTACTGGACGCCCGGGGGGCGCGCGGGCGTGTTCTTTGTGGCGTTCAGTTTCATTTTGAGCATGTTTGCGACGAACTTTGGCGCGAACTCGATTCCCTTCGGGGCGGACATGACGGGGCTGTTTCCGAGGTACCTGACTATCCGGCGGGGCCAGATTGTGTGTGCGATTCTGGGGATTGTGGTGTTGCCGTGGAAGTTGATTGCGAATGCTTCGGCGTTCCTTTCGTTTTTGGGGAGCTATAACATCTTCATGGCCCCTCTTTGCGCTGTGAGTGCAACCTCCGATCATTTAACCATAGTGTCCAGCTGACATATCACAGATCATAATCTTCGACTACCTCATCGCCCGCCGCGGCAACGTTCACGTCCCCTCCCTTTTCAACGGCTCCAGAACCGGCCTCTACTGGTTCAAAGCCGGCGTCAACTGGGTGGGCGTGTTCGCCTGGATCGGGGGCACCGTGATGGGCCTGCCCGGGCTCGTCGGGCAGTACCAGCCGCAGAGCGTCAGCCAGGCCGCGAAGAACATGTACAAGATGGGCTGGGTGCTGACGTTCTGCTCATCGGCCATCATCTACATTGGTTTGATCCATGTCTTCAAGCCCAAGGTGTTCCCGGCGGGGTGCGAGAATGCGCCGCGGGAGTTTGAGTGGCTTGCGAAGGAGGGGCGCGATGGGTTCTTTGAGGGGGAGAGGGAGGGCGAGATTTATGCTCAGGCATCGCCGCAGATTACGGACGCGGAGGAGGTGCGGGTTGAGGAGAAGGGGCGGAAGATGGAGGCTTGAGGGGTTTTGTTGGGAATGGCTTCATGTGCGATGTCTGAAGATAAATATTTGGTAATGTCTCATGATCTTGGCCCCTATCGCCAAGAACAGACAAAGTCCAAAAGTGTGTTCTCACACTTTGTCCTTGCCATCCAAAGACTATGGTAGCCATCCCCTCGCCATCGTGACCCTCATCGGCGACATCCCCGACATCCCCGCAACCGCCGCTCAACACCACCAATCCGTTGCGTAATCCAGTGGACCCCATTCGGCTTATCACTCCTCAAAGAGCCGATACTGTGAGCAACGTACAGCATCCGTTCGGGCCAAAACAACCGACGCCTGTGTAATCCGTATCGCACTCTCTGGCAATGGAGGGGTCCGGAGTTGTGTGTGTGTGGCTGCGGGGAAGTTCACATCAACAAACTGCCCGCGGGTGGAATCCCGGCCGAGCGATAACGGCACTGCGGGGTCGTTTCTCCAACCCGTTGGAGACTTTCGAATTATTTGATAATGAACTCCAACTTCCCATCCTCTTTCTGAATGACATATCCAAACAGCATTCGGAACGTTGTATTTATTTCTCCTTTTGTAAACTCGGCTTGTTGACACCGATACTTCGGTCAAAGACTTCAACGGCCCGAACCGCGGATAGCTCTTTATCCGGAAGCACAACCCCGCGCCGTGACTCGGACTGCCCTTCGTTTCAATCTGAACACCTCCCGATCAGTCAAGAGGCCGCGCACCTGGAGTTCGCCTTCGAAATCTGTTATCCAACAGCATTAACCAAGCAAGCAAGATGGCAATCGAGCCGTACCGCCTCACAGCCACCAAGGTCCGCGCAAAGATCCAGGCCGGCGAGCTGACCGTCGAAGCCTACGCGCGCTCCCTCCTCGCCCACATCGAGAAGCGCGACCCCATCGTGAAGGCGTGGGAGTACCTCGACCCGGAGCAAGTCATCGCGCAGGCCAAGAAACTCGATGCCGTCCCTGTAGACCAGCGCGGGCCCCTCCACGGCGTCGCGGTCGCGGTCAAGGATGTCATCTACACCAAAGGCAAGTCCCCCCTCCGTCCTCATCCTCACGGAACCGCTTCTCACCTCGTCACAGACATGCCCACCCAACACGGCTCAGTCCTCTACAAAGACTCCTTCCCGCAAGTCGACGCCGCCTCCATCATCGTCCTCCGCAACGCCGGCGCCCTACTCCTCGGTACCTCCCCTCCCCCTCCCTCTCCCTCGCCATCTGCTAACCCTCCCAGGCAAAACAACCACAACAGAATTCGCCGCCACAGTCGCCGGCCCCAAAACAATAAACCCGCACACCGCGTCCTCCCCGCCCACCCGCACCCCGGGCGGCTCCTCCTCCGGCTCCGGCGCCGCCGTCGCCGACTTCCAAGCCCCGCTGGCCCTCGGCACGCAAACCGGCGGGAGCACCATCCGCCCAGCCTCCTTCAACGGCATCTACGCCCTCAAACCCACCTGGAACGCCATCTCGCGCGAGGGCCAGAAGATCTACTCGCTCATCCTCGACACGCTCGGCCTCTTCGCGCGGAGCGTCGAGGACCTGCAGCTCCTCGCGGACGTCTTCGCCCTCGCCGACGACGAGGCGCCCACGGAAACCTTCGAGGTCAAGGGCGCCAAGATTGCGTTCCTGAAGACGATGGTCTGGCCGCACGTCGGGCCCGGCACGGAAGCCGCGCTGGCGAAGGCGGTGGAGCTGCTGAAGGCGCACGGGGCCGAGGTGCAGGAGATCGAGTTCGATGCGGAGTTGGAGGCGTTGCCGGAGTGGCATGCCACAGTCCTCCACAGCGAGGGGCGCGTGAACTTCTTACCGGAGTACCGCGTTGGCAAGGAGCAGTTGCATGAGTTCCTGGTGGGCCATGTGGATAACGTGAATAAAATCTCGCGGGCGGCGCAGTTGGAGGCGTTTGATAATATTGGCGCGGCGAGACCCAAGGTTGATAAGATGCTGGGGGCGTTTGATGCGGTGTTGGTGCCGAGTGCGGTTGACGAGGCGCCGGAGGGGTTGGGGAGTACGGGGAGTGCTGCGTTTAATGCGCCTTGGACGGTGAGTATCCGTTTTGCGTGGTTGGTGAGGATGTGTTTGCTGACGAGGAGTAGGCTCTTCATGTTCCGGTGGTCAACCTCATTGGGTTCGGAGGACCGAATGGCATGCCTGTGGGTGTTTCGTTGGTGGTTCCGCGGTACCGTGATAGACATCTTCTGTCTGTGGCAAAGGCCGTTGGCAAGGTTTTCGAGGCGGAGGGTGGATGGAAGTCACAGTTGTAGACCAAGAAGTGTGAATTGTCGTCCAAAGTCAAGAAATGTTTGTGTCACCATACAGTAGACTTATAAGAAAGCCTGCATACTGCTTTGTGAATCATTCGTTGCCTGTCATATCTCGCCGCCAGTGGAGCCAGGAACGCGAATAGAATCGCAGTAGCGCAGTATCATTACACTCAGTAGGGTATAACATCTATCTATAACAAAGGACCGTCCCAAACAATGCCATTCCATATGATGCAATCCCAGACTTTTCCCATTCCTGCCACACATCATGCAGCGTCATGTGTCATTACCGTCGTTCGAAGCTCTCGAAGCTTAAGCCCACTTGCCAAGCACACTCATGATGATCATGCCAGCGACCAGGCCGAGACCAGCCAGGATGGTGACGATGGGGCTGGTGTGAAGCAGCTCTGCGTGCCCGTGCATCCAGTCCTCGGCCCACATCTCCACAACACCGACCCAGACAAGAATACCAGCGGATACCGCATCGAGAGTGCCGATAGCAATGATGGTGCTGCGGTCATTGCCGTTGAACTGCTGCAGCACGCCAATGCCGATGGCCATGCCGATGGGGGTGACGAGCGCGAAAGGGGTGGCGAGGATAAGCTTCTTGACGAGAGAGAAGGTTGGAGCCTTGAGGGAGTTGAGGCTGTCGGGGGTGGAGGAGGTTTGTTCGACTTCGACGGCGGCAGGGCGATCATTCTTCTCCACGGGGGAGGCGGTGCCGAGCTGGGCAATGCGAGTACCGAGCGCGATACCTTCGAACATCTGGTGGAAAAGAATGACGACGAAGAGGGTGAGGAAGAAGGTGTCACCGGCGACGACCAAAGTAATACCAATCACTGGATAATCTTAGCTGGGATTCATCATGAGAAACTGGAAAGACTTACGGATGGAGTGGAAGATAATACCGCACTCAAGAACCAGGACAGTGACTGTCTCGGGAGAGAAGCGAGATGCAGAGGTCGGGTTAGCAGCAACCTTGGCCATGACGAGGCGCTTGCCGAGATACTCGACCAGGAAAGAGATAAAGATGCCAGCCATGACGATGGCGGATGTGGTGCCCTCGTAGCCCAGCTCTCCCAGGCACTCGTTGGCAAACATGAGTTGCGCATGTGTGTACAGGTGGACAAAGGCAGTCGAGATGATGATGCCGGTTCCAAACTGCTTGAGGATGAGGAAAATGGTGTGCGTCTTGGTAGGCATCCACTTGATCATGAAGATTGGGAAGTAGACACCGAACGCGCTGGTTACCAAGATGACAAACAGGAGACCGACGCGGAGAGGGATGTTGTAGTCGCGCGCAACCTTTGCGCAGCTTCTTGTGCCGCTGCTCTCGCTCTCGCCGGCTCCAACACAATGCTCAACACCGGCGTGGAAGTGGCAATTCTCGCCTTGAGGCGTTTCGCTATCGCTGCCACTGCCCGAGTCGGAGGACTCGGCACCCTCTGCCACGATCTCGACGTCGTCACCGTTGGGGGCCATACAGTAGGTGTCGGTACCGTGTGCGTGGCAGTCGGTGAATGCAGTCGGGATAGCGGAAGCGGCGGTGTTGGTGGGCGTCGTCATGACCTGGTACTCGGAGGTACCCCACATGCAGAAACTGAGGCTGTTAGCGATGCTGTTTTCAAGATGGAAGGTAGTCGACATACACAGTGACTCCATGGAGATGGCAGTCAGAGACAGCCGTGGGCATGCCAGTTGCGGCGGCGGCAGTCGTGGTAGCGGCAGTAGCAGCCGGGGCGTTGGCAGCCTCAACGAGAACCTCGCCATCAGGGTAGAAGCAGTATCTGAATCAAATATTAGCATTTGGACTGACATGAAGATACAAGCGGCACCTACGTGTCGGTCGCATGCTTGTGGCAGCCGGTGTAGGAGCTGGGCAGCGCGCCGGTTGGGGTTTCCGCGATGATGTACTCTGTGGTGCCAACCTTGCAAATCCTGGTGAATGTTAGATGGTGACCACGGTATGCGTGAAGTAGTCTGGCATCAACTTACTGGGTAGATGAGGTGACGGCGCAGTCTGAGACGGCCGAAGGGGCGGATGCCGCCGTGGTGGTCGCGGCGGCGGTGGTACTGGCAGCCGTCTGTCGTGCGACCAGGGAGGCGGAAGCGGTGCTCAGAAGAGCCGCAAGGGCGGCAACGGAGAACTTGGCCATGGTGATGGGACAGTTCGTCCTGGGCGTGAGACAAAACTCGAGCTGTGATACCGGCCGGGTTCGACGGGTCCGAGTTGACGTGCCTGGGGCTGTTCAGGTCCGGGGCTGAAATATGCTGCAGAGGTCTCGGACAGGCGGCTGATCGGATGGTTCGCAGCCGGGTGCTTTATGGGAAGGAGGTCAGGACAGAGGTGGCCGGGGTGAAGCTGTGTTGGTTCCAAGCCGCGCTGGGAATGGGCACCTTGAGAGACGGAAGGTCGAGTGAATGCTTGACCGAAGCGGGATGTGACGGGGGATCAGGCAACGAGAAGTCACAGAGCCGCGGGATGATTCCTCGAGAGGGCAGGCCGTAGGGTGAGAAAAGAGAGAGGATTGGATGAGGGATGGCAGGCGAGGGAGATTTTGGAGGGAGGTGGGTGGACGAGAGCGGCGAAAAAGCGACGATGAGCAGATTTGACGGTGGCCGAGAATGGCGAATGGGTCGCCGGTGTTTGGTACAGGTCTGTCTGTCTGACTTGATGGCCATTGTCCTGCCGCTGGGGATTTCCCCCTCCCTCTATCCCAAGTCAATCAAATGGCACATGGTTCCCTTTGGCAAAAGCAGTAAAGCCTCCGAGAAATGCTTGCTAGTTCCCATTGTGCCGTACCCACGAAGCAAGGGCCATGGGTGCCGACAAACGGACGACATGTCTTCGTTCCCGCATGTTCTGCGTGGACTTTCAGCTGCGAGTAACAGCGCGCCAATCAAGGCCGACGCGATTTTGGGCTCTCAGTGAATCCAGTCCATCCCCAAGCCGGTAATCCATGTCGCTGGGCCGGGAAACGAGGGGCGGCGGTGGGAACGCGATGGAAAATGTGGGAAAGATGCAAAAAGGCAAAAGAGCAAAAAACAACGTAGTCCCAATGCCAAGGCTGATGCCAAGGCTGAGACCCGTTGCCAAGTTTGCGCACCCGGATGGCCGCCATGGGTCGGCAGGAGGGCAGGTGCACGCGGGAAGTCGCGATGTCTCTCTTCTGGAGTCGCTCTTTCCCACACTCACAAGTGATGTGCTCAGCTGATTGGCTGCAGGAACGACCCGACGAGCCAGGATGCAGCAGCCGAGAATCCACATTAGCGGGCTGGCCAATGAGGAGAGCCACATCTACATCAAGAGTGAGGACCTTGATGGCTTCGTCCTGACCGCAACCGCCTTCAACCACTGTTCCTTCCTCTTCCTTCTTCCCATTCTTCCCCTCTGCTCAGGTCTTTTGTTGCGTTGTTTTCTGGCATCGACCTTGATGGCCTACAGATGCATGCCAAGAATACTAATAGGCAGGCGTTGTCCAGGAAAATTCAGACTGCTCCTCAATTCTCAGCTCACTGGTCGTCAACCAACACTGCCAAGACGAGCGGCGCACCCACCCGCCCGAATCCAACCTCGCGGTTCGCCATTTCCAACGCCTGATTGAGTTTCCGCATGAGGTTGCAGTATTCCTTCGTATCCTGCGAGAAATCGGGCGTGACACATCAGACATGTTGGCTGGTTTGGGGAAGCATCTGCTGATGACGAGTGAGACAGCTCTCCACATTTGCAGACCGACGAGCCAGCAGGGTGAGATTTACCTGGTGTACCTCGGCCTGCCTGTTGCAGGAAATTGCACCTGGGGCCTCGCCCAAGTTGTCTCCGTGATGTTGGATCTTCCTGTGAATATGTCATGAGAAGGGTCATGGCCACCACCCACTTGGACACGGGTATCTGCAAGCCTCAACCGGATGGCGTTCCCCGGAATGTACATCACGAACCTTCAGCAACGGTTGCCAGCAGTTTGTGCGCCATTGCAGCGTGTCACGATAGACTTCCCACCCGCCATGAGGTAAACCAAGTTGTCGGGTCGTGAAGCCCGTGTTCAAAGTGCGTGCGTTGAGCCTGTAGGGTCACCTTGCTCATATTACATGAGCCTGTTCACTACTAGCATCACATTTACCCGCAAGCAGGCTTTCAGCAAGTAGAGTCTCGTGGTGATTTCAATGATTCTCATTGATTCTATGGTACAATATTAACAGTCCCCATTCGGGGACAAAAAAGAAACGTAAAAACGCCAGAGGCGAGCAGAAGCAGAGGTTGATGATCCCCCATTTTTTGATATCCCGGTATGCCATGCCCAATGCCCCTCATTCCCAAATCATGTCCATGAGTCCCGTCATTAGGTGAATCCTCGTCTTTCATCATCGGCTTAGAAGGCCATGAGAGCAGCGGCAATGGCAGCAGCGCCGAATCCAACGCGGGCAGCGCCAGCAGGAACGTCAGTGGAGGAAGCCGCAGCACCGCTGGCGGACGTAGCGGAAGCTTCGCTACCGGAGGAGGCAGCGGTGGTGGTGGTGACCGTGGCGTTGCCAGAGGCGGCGGTACTGGCAGGGCCCTCGCAGTGCCCTATGTGAATGTTAGAATGGTTTTCAGAGATGATCAATGAACTCAGGAAAGACGAACAGTGGTCCGAGTGCGGAACGCATCCCACGGACTCCGTAGGTGAAGGAGCAAGAGAGCCGGTGCCGGAGGCGTGGTCGTGGTCGTGGTCGTGATCCTCGGTCGCGGTAGTGGTGGCAGCAACAGCGCTGGTCAACGTGGTGGCAGCGCCAGCGGCGCCGGTGGTGGAGCGGGCACCTTCGCAATGGTAGTGATCGACGTGAATTTCACAGCCATAACTCTCGGTGGGAGAGGGAGCAAGCGTATAGCTGCTGCTTTGAGCCATGGCGAAGGCAGAGAAGCCGAGGATAGCAAGGATCTGAGAAGTCTTCATTTTGAAGGTTTTGTGATTGTGAACTTCACGCTTGAGGTGTCTGGGGAAAACTTCGGGAGGATGGAGATCAACGAGTGGAAGGTGCCGCGGGTGAGCATGAAGAAATAAAATCTGAGGTGACAGTCGGTAGGCAGGATATATACCGAAGGTCGGCTCAGTGACGCGCCGAGCCAACAATGCGGAAAAAGCAGCAAGAGCGACAATCCAAGCAAACGGCAAGGGCTAGAAAGCTACCTTACGTCTTGGCAAGAGAAAACAGAATTACGCAGGTTCTCATTCACCGAATCCAAACGAACCACTCCTCCCATCTTTCAGCTCGCCAAGACATCGCAACGTGCTCACCCTCCACCGTGAACTTGGCAGACGCCAAAAGTGCCCTGTCCACCAACAATCGGAGAGGGAAACAAACTAGGCAAGAATAAACAAGGGCTCCCTCGCCTTGCCCCGCGGCCAGGTTCCGTTTGGTTCTGCGCGCCGCAAGCTGATCCATGCCGGGGGCTGGGTTGGGTGTTGCCCAGGCGCGAGAGGGCGGGCCGGGCCATCAAGGTCCTCAAGACAGGCTACATGTAGGCTCCCCCACCAACATTCACCACACCGGACCGTGTTCTGACATCCACGGATACGACCATCCGGGCATTGAAGGATCGGAGAAAAAGGCCGAATCATTGCATTTCGGAGGAATAACTGTATCGAGAAAGTGATTAAATGCCACCCGGTCGTCATGCTCTAACAGTTGAAAGTCATGGCATCTCTCAAGGTGAGTCGCCCGTGGCGGCATCTCCGTCTGACTACTCTCGCCCTACGCCCTATTCTCGTATCGAGAAGGCGGCAAAAGTGCCTCGTCAAAGTGGCGATCACTTGCCTCGAAACTTGGATTCACCTCCTCGGATGTTTCTCTTTTCGATTTGCCTGATCCGAAATAAAGAGAATCCCCTGACGGGCAACAAGAAGAACAGCATCAAAGGTATGATTTGTGGTCCATGGCAATCCTACCTTCGATTAGGCACAAGTGTATCGTAGATGACAGAGACGGAAACGCGGATGACCAGCCAGGAGACGACATGGCCGAAATTGATACACACGCAGGCGACGAATATGATAGGGAAACCAGACAAAAATCAACGAGTTTTGCTATCCCTACGGGTACTAATTTCAAGACGTTAGTGAGGATAGCAATGACAATAACAGCGACGACGACAACAACGGCAACGACAACAACGGCAACGACATCGACGACGACGACACCGACGACGATTATGATGACGCCGAAAGAAGTAAAGATGATGATATCTATTAAGGGACATACATATAGTAGCGTTAATAATAAGGAAGTATATCAAGAGGCAAGGAAAGCTCAAAACCAAGACCACATCTAGTCTGTTAGCTTGGAGGTAGTTTTCTGCGAGGTAAGGGGAAATCATTCCTTGCTCGAACGGTACAGCTCAGACTAGGACGTGACGGCGATGAGATGGCGAGTTAGGTCAGGACACAGACTTCAATCCAGCCCGGCAGATCGCTGAGAATCTAACGCCGTACAGCAAGCACTTACTTTGGTGACAGGTAAGAATGCCGTGCTTGCATACCCACGCATTGATGTCTTCCTTTCATTCGCATCAAAGCATCACAAGCACGGGTAAAGTTGTCAAATGCATGCGTTGTACACATTGAAAATGCAGTCTATCGAAACAAAATCTATCAAAAAGAGCAGAGGCTGTTGAAGCCTTATGACAACCCGGGTTTAAGCAAACAGTCGACACCTCCACGTGTATCCCACGACCCAGCACATCAAATATCTCCAGCCTTTTCGAACCCTCACCTCGACCGAGTTCCCCGCCCATCGCTCCATTCACGCCCTCTAAGGCTTGAAGATGTTGATAACATCATACAGACGGAAGCCCGGGAAGTAGTAGCGGTTGTCGTGCGCATACCGCCCATCAGGGACGCCCGCTCCTGATGTCATGTCCCGGAAGCCGAGCCTCAAATCGCCCGGGGCCGGGTTCGTCCCGTCAATGGTCCAGTAGAAGACCGTCTTCTCGATGGCAAGGTCAAAGAAAAAGTGCACGATGATGGCGATGCCGTTGATGGTAGCGCGGTAGCGGTTACCGGTGTCGGCGCCGAGCTTGATGTTGAGCGTGCGCTTCTGCAGGTCGCGGAGGACGAGGTCCTTGTCGGCGGAGCCGGATTGCTCTGCGAGGGTCTCGATGGCGTGGGCCTCGGTGACTTCCTTGCGCTCGACGAGGTTGGCGATGGCGGCGTCTGAGACTGGGGCGACAGAGTCTTTGACGAGCTCGATGGACTGTCCCGAGGGAGTGCTTGGGAGCGCGGCGGCCTGGGCGATAGCGGCCGCCTGGAGGACAACGGTGATGGTGGAGAAACGCATTTTGATGGTGGTAAGTGAGTGGTGGTGCAGGTATGCTTGGTTTCGGGGTAAATGAATGACTTAGAAGGTAACGAGAGACGATGTCAAAGAGTGAATTGGAAAGAATGACTGAAGTGAGAACAATGGGTGCTGTTGATACTAAGTCGTTGCTATTGAGTGAGCACATCTCGACCTTTATACACATTTGGCCTCGGAGAAGCCAGAACACCGAGACATCTTTTCTTCTGCCTGTATGGTCCGCGACGAGATCCTTCAACGCTGCCCAGTGCAAACGAGTCAACAAGTTCCCTTATCCGTGATATTCTGGGAAATTGAATCTTTCTTGTCGCCAGCCTCGTCCAACACAGGCCTCGTATCTCGGACTAGCCCCCTCTCAATGCACACAGATACGGTAAGGCTCAAGCTTTGCCGCGAGTCGGATCTTAAATGGCTCATTGCCGCGAATAGCTCTGATTTCAAAGTCGGCATCACCGAGAAATAAGCCGGGTAGGCATTTCACAGACCGATTTCTGATCTATGGAAACTTAAGCTTCCGCCGATGTGGGGGTTGACAAGGAAGGACGATCTTTTTCTCGACGACAAGCCTTGACCAGCAGCTAGCGCTAGTCTCGCAACTCGCCCCAATAAGGGTTTCGTGAAGCCGCTTATTCAAATTGGAGCGCTGACAGCAGCCTCTTGACATGACACGTTGGGTTGTGAATTAGACGCGAGGCAGTGATGCACGTGAGTTGCCGCTGCTAGCAGAGAACCCACCACTTGTGTCGTCTGGAGAGATGAGACCCCCGACACGGATGCCTCCGAGCCCGCTTCATTGAGTCCTAAGGGCTGTAAGTATTGCGCATTCATTCCTCGGTCCGATGTGCAACTGGGCAGTCAATTGCATCAAGTCGTATCAGTCGGTAAATGGGTCTACAAGCTTCAGACAGACTAAGTAGGTCAACAGGTGTAGGTATCCTTGAGGAGCAGCATGTTCATCATTGAGAAATACAGTAAAGGAATAGTCCATTCGGGGCCTTCAATGTGAGATCCACATTTGCAATAAGACGAGGTGTCTCATTCTGGGATGCCAAAGTAGTATTTGCGGAGTGACGGGATCCTGTGAGATGTGAAGCTAGAGCTAATCCTCTCAAATGTAGCGACCTAGACGCAGGTGACGTCGTGCTTGGTAATTTAGAAGTCATCCCAAGAAATCTAGCTTGAGACTGGTGTGGGACCTTTTACTCGCTACTCATTCACTAGATCACATAACGTGTCCAAATTTACAAGAGTAATGGATCCTTACCCGGGTAGGAGCCCTTTGGAGTAGCGAGTGGGAAAACGCAGGCAACCATTGTTTATAACATATCAAGAACCCATAAAAGGCACTTTTGCTGCCATCATTGTCTCCATCTTCCTCCTCGTCTTCATCTATGTCTTTGCCACTGCTACCGTCAACGTTACTACTGTCGTGGTCGATACTACGGGGTTTAGATAGCAAGACTCTTCAACGATATCACTCTATCAATATACTCTCATTAGCGTACCATTTGAGGGAGTAAAAGACTCAAATACTGATCGTAGTGGACTTATAAGCATTCGAAGTACTTTACAGACGAGTTAATAGTCAAACAAATATGGTTCTGAGGTTGATGAATGGAATTTTGAGAGTCGTGGCGGTATGTGGCTGGAAAGGTGGCGCAGTCCAGCAAATATGAAGCTTCGCCGGATCCGAGAGCGGCGGGGGTCTTTGTCCCCCCACTATGCGGATCATTCAGCACCGACATCCGCATGCGCCGCAAGCTAGGAGAACTTGCGCGGGGTCTGTTCAATCCCAATCGCATCTCGCTGCAACAATTAGACCGACCCAAAAGTAACAAATTTCATGAACGTCTTGACGGAAGGCTCGACCTGGAATCTTAGCTCAGACTCGACTCATCACCTATTTCTAGTTTACGTCATCATCTGAGCAGCCATCGAATACTGTGAGTTCAACACGGACCAGTGTCCGCGTCGCATGCTGATCGGACGCTCGTCACAGTCAGCAAAATGTCAAAACAGCGCTCTTGTGGCCCAGAGGGCGCAGGTAGTGGCGCTCCATCACAGCAGCCCGCAGAAAAACAGGCAGACCGCGCGACTGGCTCTGGGAGTGTGGGCGGTGAGACCAGCGACAACTTCTCATTTCGGGCTCAACCACAGCAACCATTTGAGAATATGGCACACGTCTCAGTCACACCCGAAGACATCAGAAATGTTCGAATGGCGAACCCGCAAGTTAGATCGTTGACGGATGACCAATTAAGAGCTTTCATAGTTCAGATCAAACAGCGCCAGTGGAATGCAATAAATCGGCAGCAATTGCAAAACCACGCAGAGAGAGACTGAAGTTGACATCCTTCGGCTAGCTTTTGATGTCAGGAACAGCAACTTACATTCTCTTTGGGATGGTCTTCAATCTTGTAACTCTCCATAGATATACTCAAACCCTCCCACTGCTCCTAACATCGTCTTCGCGATCAGGCACCACCGACATACCGCATTGGTTTCGTAGATGCACCCAGAACACGTGCACCCGGAAACTTACACATCCAATGATCGCTAGACTTTTTCTATCTGCAAGGATACCTTTTGCTATATGCGCCAACTGCTACCTAAAAGGAATTCACATTATTGTTGTTACTACTGGCATTCTTACTATAACTGTTGTTATTGTTGCCGTTATCGTCATTGTCTTCGTTATTATTACGACTATCTGACCATCACTATCCATTCAAATAGCAAAACTCAATTGGGATAGATTGCTGTGACAAGTAGCCGGTTTCCCAAATTTTGGTGAAGCGAAACGTTTTTGGTCATCAAAATCATTAGACAGACGCATAGGTGGGGGGCATCACGGAAAGACCTGGTCGTGTGAAGAGCCTGTGATGCAAGTGCGGGCTTCATTGAACATTACTCAATATCAGAATGTGAATTGCTTAGGTCTCATTGAATCAGACAGCAAAACACGAGGAGCTAATCACATTTTCCGTCTATCGTTGCTCTTCCATAAGAACTTGGCGAGACAATCCTAAACCAAAATCAGTCATCTTGCCATATCAGGACTAGACTGCTGCGACTTGATGACCAAGACTGTCATCCCACGTCACGGCATGATGAATCCCCGACGCGTCAAGGATCGTATCGCATCCTGCCAAAAGTTCCTCGCTTAATCTCAGGAATATTCGAAGTGCGATCAACATAAGATGATGGACTTCTTCCCCCAATTCGCCCGTACGAGCATCGAAATCGCCAACTCAACTGTCCTTTGACCATGGGGAAGCGACCGATTGAGCCTGTTGTCAACAAGGCTCGACCTCCACGTAGGCCAAAATGGTCAACTATTGCTCTTGCTTGCACATTGGGAGTCGCTGTTGTCTACATGGCCGGCCCCCCGTTTCTGCCTTGGGTGCCTGCACACAATGATGTGAGGGAAATCGCATCCAAACACATGGATAAGTCCAACAACAACACCTGTTTTGACTGGGAAGCGGTTTCACCATCACGAGATTTGGAATACGTTCCCTGCTACGGGAGGTTTCAATGCGCTAGGCTCCTTCTCCCAATGGACTGGACCGACGAAGAAGAAAACTGGCACAATCATGAAGTGGCCATCGCCATGATCAAACAGTCCGCTAATGTTTCCGTTCTGGACCCCCGATATGGTGGCGAGATCTTTCTCAACCCAGGTTCGTAATTGACTATTACGTTACTTTTTACCGGGTTAACAATTGTCAGGCGGCCCTGGAGTGCAGGGCGTAACCATGTTGACGGGCAGGCTCAACGATCACCTCGTTAACGCCATCAATGGTGAGGATCCCGACGGCAAGGTCTTTGACCTTGTCTCTTTCGACCCTCGAGGTGTCGGCTTTTCAACTCCCCGCATCTCGTGCTTCGACGATCTTGTAGCTCGGCAACTATGGCATCAACTCGGAACGGCGTATGGCGATGTATCAGGTCAGTCCTTTGATCTTCTGTGGGCTCGAGCGCGATCCCTGGAAAAGCTCTGCGATGCAGGGAATGCCAGCTCAGAAAAGGCTCTCTTCATGAGCACCGTCAGCACAGCCTTTGTGGCGCGTGATTTACTGGCAATGGTGGAAAAGAGTGGCGAAGCAAGAGAACAGAGAGCCCGAGAAGCTATGATCACACTTCACGGTGAAGACGAAGATTCAATGGTACCAGAGTCTCTTCAATACCAGCCAGGCAATGAGCTCTTGCAATATTGGGTAAGTTCGCTCACTGCTCAACTTCTCTATTTGGGTTGAAAGCGTTGTTTAATCGTCTCACAGGGCTTCAGTTACGGAACCTTCCTGGGTGGAACTTTCGCCAGCCTGTATCCAACACGAGTGGGGAGAATGATAGTAGATGGTTGTGGCGAATGGGAGGATGAGGCTTCCGGAGAGTTCCTGGGATTCCTGCTTGACACAGACAACGAATGGTCTGAGTTCTTCAGACTTTGCTATGCAGCAGGGCCTGATAAATGCGCGATCTACGATAAAGATGGTCCCAAAGCGATGCAGAAGTCTGTCGCAGAACTGTTGGAGACCCTGCAGACCGATCCAATACCTGTTTACGAGGACGGTATGCCTTTTCCGGATCTCTTTACCAGGGATATTTTGGTTCAAGGCATATTCGGGGCACTTTACCGACCGTATCGAGACAATACATGGGTCAAGCTGGCGGGGACACTCGCGGCACTCTTGAACAGTACTATCCCCTCCGGAGCGATCGACATGCTGCCGTCCCGCAAGTTCCATGTGTCAGTGGACGGGTGCAAGACCTCGGATTGTGTTACTGAAGGGATGAGTGAAGGCTTTTGGAGCGAAATCAATTACGGCATTTATTGCACCGACGGGCTCGACTTCCGCAACCTCTCCAAGTCGGAGATGGCTGCTTGGGTTGCTACCTTACAGCAACAAAGCCCGTTATTCGGCAATATGTTCGCCACTACTTCGAAGCTGCCTTGTGTTGGGTATCCGGCCCGACCGAAATGGCGCTTTGGGGGTCCCTTCGGCGGCAAGACAAAGACCCCAATGCTATTCATCGGTAACACCTTTGATCCCGTGGCACCACTTGAGGGCACTCGCAAGAACGTGGAACATTTCGAAGGAGCAAGATTGCTGCAGCAAGATTCAGTGGGTCATTGCTCTACAAATGCCCCAAGCAAATGCACCGTGTCTTATATTCGGAGGTACCTCGTTTCTGGCGAGTTACCCGAGGAAGGTACTATTTGTCCTGTAGACGGCTCTCCATTCGACGAGGACATACAGAGATATTGAGTCGCCGTTATTCATAACATTGGCTGTATCATGTTCTTCGGGTTATTGAATGGTTCGGTGTAATTGTAAACTATGTGCAAGAAGGCTAGATAGGAGAAGGGCCACTCGAGGCACACTGTGCACCCAATCAGGACGAAATCTCAGAAGCAAAGATATGTTCACAAGCAATGCCGTCCAGATTTTATCACTCGAGAGATACTAATTGGTCTCAAATGGCATCAGAGACACTGCGAGTACCACTGGTTCGAAGCGGTGCATGTCGATCCCGACTCGCAGCAGGTGGCCCCGGTCCAACCAGACCCGCCACACTGACTCCATTTGGCAGCGCACTGCAATCAACAGATATTAGCAACATGCCAATCATGAGAATATTACCAGAGGACTTACGCTTCCGCCACCGCCACTAGGTGGAGGGTTGCTGGTGGGAGGAGGGCTGGTGCTGCCGCCATCAGAGCCAACAGTGATTGACGCAGAGCCGCTGCTGAAATATCCCTCCGTTGCGACAATTTGGTAGTCATGGGTACCGAGATTCAATCCGACAGCAGCCCAGGCGTTGAAGTGAGTTCCGGTATTGACAGTGCCGCCGGTTCGCTTGCTCTGACGGACGGACCAGTACTGCTGAAAGGTCTTGGTGCCCTCGATGGACGGAGCGTTGGTTCGAGTGCTAACGTAGATGTCGTAGGTTCCGCCGTCGCTGGTGACGGAGCCCTTTCTTGTAGCACCGGAGGAGGGGTTGTAAGTTCCTGTAGCGCGGATTAGCGATGTTACCAGTGGGAGACTCGACGGAAGAGCCTATGCTGCAATTGGAAGATGGTTTCTTACCAAAGTTCTCGACGATGTAGTACTTCGACACGTTAGCGAACAAATCATAAGGCCCGTTATTTCAGGAATTTTACCTCAATCAAGGGGTTTCTTGTCCAGCCATAGACGGCGAGGTAACTGTTGCCGTTGGGGCTGTAGGTTCCTGAGTAGGTAATGGTCCTAAATGTTTGACGATGTCAGAACGGGTACTCTTTGCAAAGGTTAAGAAGATATACCTCGCACTGCCTGGGTTCCATCCCTTTCCACCGACGAAGTTTCCTCCAGTTTGCCAGACAACAGAGTACGAACCTCCGGCCCCATTGGTGTACGTCACTTGCGAGCCACCATCAGTCCACCAAGAGTAGTAGTATCCATTGTGCGTTCCGGTTGAGCTTGGTGTAGACTGACGCTTGATCAAATCTCCAGGGAGAGCAAAGACTCCAACAGCAGTGGTAAGAGCCACCAGGAGAGAGGAGAAAGAGACCATGTTGCAAAGTGCGCGTGGAAGTTGGCGTGGTTGAAAAATGTTTCGATGTTCTTGGGGGAGGGGGCTTCTCCCGTTTATATTTTGTTGACCTTATGTGAAAATGCCCTCACACTTGGCATTTTCCACGATGTTGTGGCGTCTGACAAGACCGCTTTCTTGTGACTTTCGGTGCTGCATGTAAAGCAGCTGCCTATGAGAGCAGGTGGAAGGAATATTGATGCGCCACTTCATTTGGTTATACTATTCTGTTGGCTGCAGCTGGAAGTTTGGTTTAAGGATGTGCTTGTTTGGGTTGCATTATTTAACCATTGTGACCATGAGTGTGCTTTGCATTCAGCCGGTACCTGGTCCTTGGCACGGAGCTGTTGTGGAGGCTGGTGCCAGTAATCTATCGATATGATCTATCTAAGGCCCTATTCTAAACAGGACGTAATTAGTTGCTTATATTTGGATTTCGCACCTTCGTTGTAATTTATCGTGATTTCGTTCACTCACGTTCAAATATCGTAATGTCAACATCAGTTTCGAAAACCTACAAATAACTGATGAGTATAACAGATTCTTACGAAGAAATCTTTGGTATACAGACGGCGTTCGACATCCGTCTGTCCGTGATCAATGTGGCTGGCAACGGCGGAGGTGAGCCGCCAAAAGAGATTCGGAGGTTCCATCCCGCATAAGACTACCGGCTTCTCCACAATTGGCCACACGTGTGAGAACCAAAAGTTTGGTTCACGCGATTTTAGCCGGCGGTAGAATGCATCGAAGGTGGTATTCTTGCCATCTCCTGATATTTTCCTTCGGGTTCGCGATTACCTTACACATGGTAAATACCCGGCCCGGGCCACGCGACCATATAATAACTTGCGTGGCGCTCTTGGCAATTTTTCTTCTTTTCGGATCCTGGCTAGGCTTTTTGGTATCTTCTCAGACTTTCCAGCGTATTTTCATTGCGAGGATTGCCAAGAAGGCTGCTTGAGCTGGCGCTATCAATTTAGATGGCAGCCGTACCTTAAAAGTGTCAGGCCCCGGTTAAGGTACTCAACAGTGATGCGTGCGTACCGACTTTCAGTGGATGGCCGGTTCCTTTGTAGCTCCAAACTGCCTCGAGGCACGTGTCAAGATGACACCGCCTTATCTTCCAAGATCGACGGAGCGCAGCCGGCCATTACGGGAGCAAAGGTGGGCCAAGCTCCGACCTGCAACCCGGAGCAGGCGCTGGTGGCCTATCATAACGCAAGGCATCATCAACAACCAGAGGGAGCTCAGCTTAACGCCTACACACAGTACTTCTGTGCATATGAATGCGATTCTCGAACAATGTGAATTAATAAGCCAGTAACATAGAGCAGTCCTTCTGACTTCCGAGTGATTCGGCAACAGGCAAGGGATTCCTTGCCTACGCTATATGTTGCTCAAAGGCCATCTCGCAGATACTTCTGTTTTCTCTCCCACATGCAAGTAGACATCCACACCACAACATGATAATAAGATCCACGCTAATCGGAGCTTTATGAATCACACAGTTCATGATCCAAACATTCTGCTCATGATTTACCCATGATCACATTAGACAATTCTGCTACCTATGCTCAATACCACGCTAGCTTACAAATACATGTATTTCATCGGCACTAGGTTTCCGATAATTGAAGACTCGAAAACTCTCGACAAGCGCCATTGAGGAGACTTGTACTTGGGATCGGGATTAGGTTTCCGATAAAGACTCGGATCTTCGTGACGAACGCCATCGAGGAGACCGAACCGTGGACATCAGCATCTTGCCTAGCTTTGCAAGATTCCAACCCATCTACTCTTATACAGGGAAGCCAAACCGTCTCGGTTGACAGGACACGGATATTTCCCTTCATCGGAAAACGAACTTCCAAAGCAGGTGAGAATCCCCGAAATGGCGCCTTATGACGAAAGTCGTCTGGGGGTTCTCTGTTTCACATCTACAGATGGCAATTGATTCCGGTAGCTGAGCTGAGGACCGGATTTTTCTTGCCTTCCCGGGTGCGTTTACTGATCGAATAATGTGAGACGCTGTCGGCTGGCCGTGTGTCGTGGTCTCTTTTGGGTAACTCGAGCGCGAGCGCAACTGGTCGTTCCGGAATTCATGCCTAACCTGGCCAAGGTAGGCAGTAAATGCGCGGCGCTAAGAGCAATGACTCGGGTCAACAGCCCGTAGAAGTTGCAGACTCAGTGGGGAAACGAACAAATGTGCCATTTCCCCAGATGAACCCCTGCTACTTTACCCCGCGATCACTTGCTTGATCTCCGCCCAACTTCCCCGGCTTACCCCCACGAATCCATTCTCACGTCTCCCGCACATCCACAGTTGGAGAAGGAACATCATGACGGTCCTGTCTATGTCCAGTCAGAACTCGCACTTTGTCTATCCGGTGGACCTGCCATGAACTTCAGGAGAGCCTCCTCAAGACTGTTGCTATATACTGGACCAATCATAAGCTTAGAGTATGTTCGGACTTGTCCATCAAGATTGCCGTCCGTCGGGCTTCTCCCCGCCCACTAGCGTTAGCTTGACATTGCGTACCTGCCCTGGTATTGACAAGATGAACCTTGCTGCCGAAGACTTGAATCTGAAAGACATGGGAACATGCCATCCGGTCGAACTACATAAGAAGCTCGGACATCTCACCCTCGTATCTGGAATTGCTTTTCACCAACCTCACAACACATTCAGTCCTTTTACACCACCCACTCTTACTTCCACCTCTTGTTTACACCAGCGATCATCAGCCGTTCAACATGGGTGTTGTCAACAAAGACGACGAAGCCCCCAGCCCAGGGGTCCAACACATCGAACAAGATGCTGCTGTCGCCGATGCCATCAAGGCTGTTGAGCATCGTGATCTTGAGCGTATTGAAGAGACTCAGCCTGGTGCTTTCGTTTGGCTCTGCGCCGCAGCAACTGCAATTGGTGGTATGCTCTTTGGTTATGACACTGGTGTGATCTCCGGAGTTCTGGTCGTTATCGGAACAGATCTGGGCGGGAAAGAGCTCACTCATTCCGAGAAAGAGCTTGTTACAGCATTAACTGCAGCTGGTGCTCTCTTAGGAGCTATCTTTGCCGGTCTCACGGCAGACAAGCTCGGCCGAAAACCCTCTATCTGGTTCGCCAGTGTTCTGTTTACGCTCGGAGCTGTAATTCAGTCAGCGTCTTTCTCTGTCGCCCAGATGGCCATAGGACGCCTTGTTATTGGTCTTGGGGTTGGCTCAGCATCTATGGTACGTCTAACTCCTATTATTCACTAGTAAAGCAAGCCATCTGACATCGGACCTATCCAGATCGTGCCACTATACATCGCCGAGATATCACCTGCAAGGTTCCGAGGCCGTATGATTTCAGTCGATATGATATTCCTCGGCAGCGGCTCGGTGCTTGCTTATGCGTTTGATGCCGCCTTCTATAAAACTCCTCATGGATGGCGATATATGATAGCAATCGGAGGTATTCCTTCTATCGTGCTAGGAATCCTCCTCTTCTGGTGCCCCGAATCTCCCCGTCAGTTGATGTTCCACGGAAAGCGAGAAGAGTGCGTCCGCGTTCTCCGAAGAATCTACCCCAACGGTACTGAAGACGAAGTTGCCGATAAGATTACTTCCATCGAACGTGGAGTCAATCAAGCGAAAGCCCTCAATGAGGAGATCTCTCTGCGGAAGTCTGTCACAAGCATTTTCACTATCCCAGCCAACTTGAGGGCAGCTATTTGCGCTTGCGGACTGATGCTTTTCCAACAATTTTGCGGTTTCAACACATTGGTTAGCATTCTACAGACCACATTAATGCATCAAGGAGCTAACAAGGCATTAGATGTACTACTCTAGTACCCTATTTCAGATCGTGGGCTTCTCAAACCCCATTGCGGTTGGCACCGTTGTAGCCGGAACGAACTGGATCTTCACCGTTCTATCTATCTTCCTTATCGATCGAGTCGGACGTCGCAGACTCCTGCTTTGGACAATGTGGGGAATGCCTGTTTGCCTAGCCATCGCAGCCATTGCTTTCCACTGGATTCCTCTGGATCTCAACACTCTGGAGCTCAAGACACAGGAAGTCGGCTGGCCAGCCATTCTGGTCTTGGTCTCAATGATCATGTTCGTGGCTTTTTACGCCGCTGGTTTGGGCTGTGTTCCTTGGCAGGCCAACGAATTCCTCCCCATGGAGGTCCGAGCCAGTGGCACCATGATGATCAAGTAAGCTTCCCAAGATAGACATGTATCAAAATATGCGCTGACGTCTGTGTAGCATTTTCAACTGGGGACCAAATATCATCGTCTCTTCAACATTTCTGTCTATGATGCGAGGCATGACACCGTCTGGCACCTTTGGGTTCTACGCTGGCCTGTCATTCCTCGGCTGGGTGTTTGTCATTTTCTGCTTCCCTGAAGCGGCCAACATGACCTTGGAGGAGATTCGTGTTGTCTTTGAGCATGGCTTCGGTGTCAGATATGCCGAGGAGTGGAGGAAGCAGAGGAAGCTGGACTTGCAGGCAAGAAGAGAGGAGGCCAACGTTTAGAAACGGTTAACAAATGTTTTATTCTCATCCATGTCAACGTCTCTTTCAAGATTCACTTACAACAAGAGACTGTCTCTATGAGATATCGCTATGGAATAATGAAAATGATGACGCAGAAGGAACCAGGATCCTAAGGCTCTATAGCTGCATTTTACTGGAGGTTGAAATCCGCAAGACCATTGGTTTGCGACTCAGTAATGTGTCGGGTGTACTCAACCAATCCGCCCAAGAAATTGAGCATTTCTGTTCATTCGTGTCAGCGTCTACTATTCTGGAACATTGATGTCGAGGAGTTGCTTACCTTTGGGCTTTCCGGGGATGTTGGTACCCATGTACTCAGACTGGGTCTGTGGCAAGAGGGTGGCGTCTCCAATGTTGTTCACAAGTCGCCTCCAAGCTTGTTCCGCCTCCTGACTAGGCTCAATGTAAGTCTTGCCACGCTCGCGCAAGCAAACCAAGGTATCACGAATCCATTTGCCCTGGAGCTCTGCACAGGTAGGCCCATTGCAGAAAGACGTAGGCCCCTGCGGCCCATAGATGAAGAAGGCGTTTGGAAATTCGGATGTCATCATCCCGAGGTGAGTGGTGGTGCCCTTGGCCCACTTCTCTTTCAAAGATTGCCCCTTCGCGCCCTTGATGTCGATGGCGAGAATGCCTCCAGTCACCGAGTCAAAACCAGTTGCCAGGATCAGGACGTCGAACTTGCGCAGCTCTCCATCAGCAGTGAAGACGCCGTCCGGAACAACCTCGGCGATGGGGTTTTCCTTGGTGTCAATCAGAGAGACGTTGTCGCGATTGTAGACCTCGTAGTATCGTTGCTCAAGAGTAGCTCGTTTGGTTCCAAAGTAATACGGTGGCTTTGCTGGCGCCAGCAGGTCTTGCATCTCTGGCTTGTGCACCCTCTCCAAAACCTTGCTGCGCCAGAACTCATACGCATGCTGGTTTGCCTCCTTGTTTCTGATGACATCTTGGTAGGTGCCGAGCCAAAATGAAAGTCCACCCTTGGCCCACATCTTCTCGAAGAATGCCTGCCGTTCTTCCGCCGTGACATCAGCACAGGTTGCGGGGTTGAACTCGAAGTCGAGGCCTGCGAAGGTTTTTTTGCGGAGATCGTAAAGAGCCTGATAGGTGTTCTTTTTCTGATCTTCTTCTGATAGGGGTGTTTGGCGCATCGGAAGAGCGTATGTAGGGCTGCGTTGGAAGACTGTCAGGTGTTCAACCTCAGGAGCGATCTCCTGAATGACCTGAAGTCCACTGGAGCCGTTGCCGACGATGCCAACTCGTTTTCCCTTGAAGTCAATGCCACCCTGAGGCCACTTCGAGGTGTGGCAGCATATGCCGGCGAACGAATCCAGCCCCTTGAACTCCGGAATGTTGGGCTTCGCCGCGAAACTGGTGCAAAGAATGAAGAATCGGGATCTGAACACAGTCTGGTCCTTGGTAATAATTGTCCACTGGTTCCCGCTTTGGTCGAACTCAGCATTGACGACGCGAGTATTGAATCGCACATCCTTCTTAAGATGGAGCTTGGATTCGACGTGGTTGAAGTAGTTGCGGATCTCATCCCGCCCTGGATACTTCTCGGACCAAGTCCAAGGTCTCCAGATTTCCTCTTCTGAGAACTCGTACAGAGGAACGGGCGTGTCGACACGAGCTCCGGCATAGCAATTCCAATACCAGACACCGCCTAGATCGGCCGCGTCATCAAGAACGAGCGTCTTGAGGCCGGCTTTGCGCAGCTGGTCAAGGGCGTAACATCCGGCAAAGCCAGCAACCACGATGATCGCGTCGTACTCGGGAGAAGGGAGAGAACCCATTGCGAGATTTCCCGGTTGGATTGGAAAAGAGAAGAAGAATTCTTAGTAATCGGTTGTCGTCTGTAAATCTAATGGGTTAAGACGAGGAAAAGAAGTTTACCGTTGGAGTCCTTATAGTACCTCGGTCAGCCCCTGATTCCTTCGCACGATCAGGCATCTCTATCATTAGTGTGATTTCGTACATCATAGGCTTCACAGCGATCCAACGGTTAACCAGCCCCTTCTCCTTGACTCCACGCCGTCGTGAATATGAATGCGTGTATACGGACGGACTATTTAGGTTTCGGGCATGGTTAATGGCGAAAATCAAGGATTAAAGCTTAAAAATGGTCGTCCAACCATGAAGAAAACAAGGACATGGCCCATTGTGGCGATGTCGATCTGCAGTATATTGACGGCGCTGCTGTTTTCTCGGTGCGATTTCTACTCAAAAATTGTGGCTCTATCATGGCTTCAAAAGAATGGCGGATGGAATGGGCGGCAGGCACTGCGCGGCATTTGGAAATTCGTCCGGATCAGGGGCAAATGCCCAAAGTCAGTCCGAGACCCAGTATCAGCCCATATGTAAGGGCCAATCATCGTTCTAAAGATCCACGACTGAGTGGATGCGAGCAGGGTGGCGACCTCTTTGAAGAATCTCACCAGTTCCATTTATATTCTGGTCCAGATGTCTTCAAATCTTCAGCTTTGGTTTTAATGACGTCAAAGGAGACTTTAAACTATTGGACGTGGTTTGCAAGATGGCAGGATGCTGATATAAATGTTGAAGCGTTCAGCCAATACCCCGATTTACGCTGTCTCAGGGGTGCAAAGAAGAGGCCCAATGCCTGTGCCCGTGTGACTGGCGCAGGGGATCGCCCCACGACGGGCCGGTGAAAACCCACCTGTCTACGTTTCGCGGAGTTGGACATGGCTGGGCTCTTGACTTCTATCATGAACCAGCCCGGCCTTCTGACTGTAGTCACCTCTATCATGACATTGAATCTTGGTGACCGTGAAGAGCCGGGGAATGCACCCACTGGCACCGCACATGAAGCCGAGCTATCGGATCTCAGCTGCAGATCTTGCAAAAGGTGTGGCCCCACCCTGCTATCGTGACTCAGGGAGCGTCCATGTGCTGATCAGGTCTGACTGGCCCACAGAAAGAAAGCCAAATGGTGAGTTGCCAAGCCGAAGACGACACGGGCTTGCATGTATTCTAATCGCATTTTGTAGCGACCGCTCTTTGCCTTGTTGCCTGCTTTGCGAAAAGACCTCTCGCGCATGCATCTATCCGGCTACGCGTCTTAAGCCGGGACCTAAACTAGGTAGGGTAGACCGTTCCAAAGTGCCTTTCTACCAAGAATTGACAAACGTGTATAAAGGCTCACGCAACCGCAAGCGCCAACGAACTTCCGACCAGGCCATCTACATTAGCCTGGGTACACCGGCCGTTCCCTGTCAAGGCACATCAACGGAGCAATTCAGCAACCCACCTGCAGTAGTTGAGTCGCAATGTTACGACCCTCCTGCCAAAGTTTGGGAGCACCAAAATGGCTTCTTGCTACCCCGATCCACGGGCCAAGACGAGAACATACGTCCCGGCTCCTCTCATGTTTCTGACACCAGATTCGTCCGTGCCATCAGCCTCTCTGCCCTAGTCCATCCTTCTCATGAAGCAAACGTGACACCTATTCCGAGGGGTCCCTCGCCGACAAGTGGCGGTTTCTTCGTTAGACTTGCGGAGACCCAGAACGTCCTCATGCAGGTCTGCGAATCACTTGGGTTATCGGTCGAGTCACTGCAACTGCTGTGCGTCATGTACATTGTCAACTGTTCGTTTAGGTTCCGGCTTGCTGACAATGCTCTTAGTACCAATCTGTATTTTGAAAATATGTCAGCGTTCTCTCTTTTTCATCAACCGTCTTTTGGGGGAAAGATTCAGGCCATCCCAAACACTCTTCATCTGAGTGCCTTGATGTCGGCGATGTTCTCCATTTCTGCACGCTTCGCTGATGTCGAGACTTTACCTCTCGCTGAAGCAAAGTGTACCTCATCTCACGCATATTTCCATGGCCTGGCCAGAAAACTCATCGATCAAGCTATTGAGGAGTGTGACGACGACCCACCACCAATCTGTGTTCTTCAAGCATTGATACTTTGCACTTTTTACGAACTCACGAGAGGCGTCCGTGGTCGTGCATGGCGGATGGTAGGCACATGTGTTCGGGTAGCATATGAACTCAGGCTCCATCTGGTTGACAGCATGGCACCAACGACCCCGCCGTCAACCACCGCAGACTTGAATCAGTGGTCAGCTATGGAAGAAAGACGACGCAGCTGGTGGGCCATCTGGGAAATGGATGTCTTCGCCTCAACAGTGCGCCGGTGCCCAACTGCCATTGGCCAGGATATCAACGAAACATATCTTCCTATACCCGATGATGTGTGGTTCAAGAATGCATATCAGTCAAGCTGTTTGCTTGACCCAAACCCAACGGAGAGGTCAAAAAAGCTGGCTTTGTCGGGTAATGATAGTAGCGCTGCATGGTTCATCACTATTAACTCCATCATGCGGAATGCGCAGGTATTAGCCCAAGGCAACCTACATAGTATACTTTCGGACCTTGCGCCGGGGGACGACTTTCACTCTCTCAAACGATACTTTCACGGATCCTTCCGTAGAAGACAGTCCGCTGAAGACACCCGACAGCTTTCTATGTTGCTGAAGGCTCTTCAGCAAACCGTTGCTGACTTACCGCAACGGCTTGCTTACAAGGGTACTCAACTCGGTTTTCGGTCTTCGACACCTTCATTCGTAAGCAACAACAACCAACCCGTTTCTGATAGAAAGTTGGATGCCGCGCAACATTCAATATTTCTCGCAATTCAGCTGGCACGATTCATGATTTACCATCACTATGCTTTCAGTGAAGTATTGCTTGGTACGATATTCTCGGAATCTGGCAGTTCTTCCCCAGCTTTAGGGTGGACTACTACACCTAGAGATCCAAAAGAGAGACTTTCTCACTCGGAAGGGCTACGCAACTGTCTCGAGGCATCGGATGACATTTGCGCCATCATCTGCCGCTCTTCCGATACACACGTCAAGTGGACAAGCCCATTCTTAGCCAGCACTGTGTGGCTAGCGGCGTCTCTACAGATCCTTCGCAAAGTTTTCGCTTCGTCAACCTGCGACGAAAT